AGTTTCAAGTACCCTCCACTCCAGGTCTCAGTCTGCCAAACACATCTTAGATGTTCCTGCATCTGTAGCTTGTCTTATACCGTTCTCTTTCTGACTCTATTTCCCTCTACTTTTTGATCATCCATTAAGATCAAGCACAAGGAAAGTTACTGGAATGTCACTGTGTATATAACATGTGCTTCTTGAGAGTTTGGAGGTGGGGGTTGTTTTGTTTTTAACTTTATGAATAGAGGTCATCACCCTCAATAGAGCACAGACACCTTCAAAGCAGCTGGCACTTCGAGTTCTTTGATGCAATAGCTGTTAAACATTACTTGTTGAGTGAAGACTTCAGAGACAGATTTTATTTGTAAAAAGAAGAATAGGGCTAGGGAGATGGCTCAGCAGTTAGGAGCACTGGACAAGTTCCATTCTCAGTTTCCATATCAGGCAGCTTCAACTGCTTGTAACTCAAGCTCCAGGGAATCTGACACCTCTAGCACCTACACACATGGTACACATGCACACTGGCACACACATACACATATTTTTTAAAGAAATAGGAAGAAAAAGATAGCTATCTGGGAAGAGGCTATCACTGTTATGTTCTAGTAGTTCATTATGTCATATATATTAATTCACTGCTTGCAGCATGTTATGTACTACACTAGGCTCTGGAGATTGAGGTGCAAATGCTGGCTTTGCCATGTGAGAACTCTGCTTAGGTGGGAGTCAAACATAACAAAAAGGTAATTACCATTTAGTGTTGCAGGTGCTTTGGAGCATAAGAAACAAATGATTAACTCTGTATGGACTCAGTGTTTTTACCAAGGGAGGAAAAAAGATTCGAATTGCAGAAGTTCCAGAGGGAATCCAACTCAAGAACAATTGCGAAAAACAAAAAAGCATGATCAGAGAGAAGTGAAAAGTTTGTTGTAATCATTCTCTTTTGAGAACTTTAGTATGAGAGGAAATATAGCATGAAGGTAGTTGAGATTGAGTCTGTTGTAGCCAGGTTTTAGAACAGTTTGTACAGCTGAGACATATTTTTCTCCTTGAAGCATAAAAAAGCCATTGGCAGTTTTAAAGCAAGTGTGCATTAGGATTCCGTTTGTGTAGAGAGGTGATTCTGTGTGGAAGAAAGATAGGAATACAGTCACATAGGAAGTTGAGACTTTCTGAAGGTCTAGGAGGGATCAAGAGCAAAGGAATCCAAGGAGAACCCATCTGACCTCCTGAGGCTGTATCTTCCAGTGGCTGGGAACTGAAAGTGTGAGATAAGCCTTCTCTAGGCCTTGAGAAGGCCCATGGCTTTGTTTACCATCTCTAAACCCCTCCAGGCTCCCTCACTCCTGTCCCACATAGCCTGTACACACCCTTAAGACAGTACTAAAGATATCTACTGTCTGAGGCCTTTCTGGTTCTCTTTCTGATACGATTTTATGATACAGACCAAACCCAACCTGCTGCCTTTTTAAAAAAATAATGTCATTATTTAGAGTCATTTCTTTGTTCTCTGTGGCTCATTTTACTTTATAGTGGCAGAGTTGGGTAGGTTCAGTAGAAACCATATAGCTCACAAGATTGAACTAGGTACTGCACCCTGTTACAGAAAAAGTTTGCTTATCTCCAGTTCAGTTCCTACTGATAGAGGGAAGGGAAGAGACTTGTGTACAGTATTTTCCAAGGACTTTGTGTCTTTGGAGAAATCTCTTTACTGATAAACAATTGAAAAGTTTTCTGAAACTTTGGGTTGTTTTTACTAGTTGTTATTTTTAGTGACTATGATTCAAAAGAGACGTTATAATTAAGGAAAGCTCTTTACAGATACGAGTGTAATTCACTGTTGAGACAGTCATAATAAAGTGATGTAGGAGATTAAAATATTGCCCTTGCCCTTGCTGAGCTAGTTGCAGAATCTCTTTAAGAACCTGCTAGAGCCGGGCGGTGGTGGCGCACGCCTTTAATCCCAGCACTCGGGAGGCAGAGCCAGGAGGATCTCTGTGAGTTCGAGGCCAGCCTGGACTACCAAGTGAGTTCCAGGAAAGGCGCAAAGCTACACAGAGAAACCCTGTCTCGAAAAAAAAAAAAAAAAAGAACCTGCTAGAAAGCTGAATATTCCTTGTTATTTAACAAAAAAAAAAAAAAAAAAAAAAAAAAAAATGAGCTGGGCGGCAGTGGCACAGGCCTTTAATCCCAGCACTCGGGAGGCAGAGGCAGGTGAGTTCAAGGCTAGCCTTGTCTACAGAGCGAGATCCAGGAGAGGCACCAAAACTACACAGAGAAACCCTGTCTTGAAAAACCAATTAAAAAAAAAAGAAAGAAAGAAAAGAAAATTCTAAAGCAATATAAAAATGAGACTGAAGCTTAAGGAAACTAGAGGGCTAAAGGAGCCAGAAATTACAGACCTTTAAGGTCGGTCATCCTGTGAAGAGAGCAAGTGTTACAGGTACACAGGTAGAGCCCAGATCTACTGCAGATGACATACCAGGGTATGGAGGCCCAGCCCTCCGTAGACCCATTTAAGACTGCTTTATTACGGTGGTTGAGTTGTTGAGTAACTGAAAAAAAAATGGTGGAACGTTTTAGTTTCCATCTGTTAAATTGATGACTGGGTGGATGACTATTTGTTTCCTTTCTTGATTTTAATTCCCATTTGTTCAGGATCTGCACAAGAAAAGCTCTCAACAGCTAACTTGGATGACAAATTTTGTGCATGTGTGTCCTTTTTTTTAAAAAAAAAAAATGCCTTTCTTTCCTCTAGGCTATCCTACCTACAAAGAAAAAGTAAAGAAAAGGCCAGGGGGCCGCCCAGAAGTCATTTACAACTACGTCCAAAGACCCTTTATACGAATGTCCTGGGAGAAGGAGGAAGGAAAGAGTCGGCATGTAGACTTTCAGTGTGTAAAGAGTAAATCTATCACCAACCTGGCAGCAGCTGCTGCAGACATTCCCCAGGACCAGCTGGTAGTCATGCACCCTACTCCACAGGTGGATGAGCTGGATAGCCTCCCCAGCCACCCCGCCTCGGCCAGTAATGACCTCGATCCTGATGCACAGAATCCAATGCTGTGATGCTGATGTTCCTGAAACCATAGCATGCTACTCTTCAGTGACGTCGTGCTCCTCATTCTGCACTGCGAGGCCACTTTTCTTCATTGTGAGATGCACATGTTTAGGATATTGCAGTGTAGGCTTTTTCAAAGACCAAAGGTAGCTGAATGGTTTTTTTAATGAGTACAACTTTAGCATCCTGGTTCCAGTTCTATAAATGTATTTGTTTACCAGTAGGTTTGTGAAATTGGTTCTTTGTACAGGGACAGTCCTTTTTCACACATCTAGATCTTCTCAGAAGTGGTGGGAATTGGCAGCTGAGGCACTTTCGATATAGATTGATACTCATCGTGCCCCAGGTAAAATGCAGAATATTAAGAGTTGCACTTTAGAGATGGTGGTTAAATGGAGCTGTTGAAGCCATTTTAGAGTTGTGATGCACAGTATAACATAAGTGCTTCTGTCAGAGTATTCCTCAGTACAGTATGTGTAGTTGGCCCACAAGAAGCAAAAACATATTTATCTTGAGTTTATTTGAATGATTACGATGAGATTTGATGCTCATAATGTTGGTTCACTCATCTCCAGAGCCCTGTAACCCTTTTAGAGTGAGTCATATGCAGGGAGGGTGAATGTCAAGAGGGGATTTGCTGTCCAGTCTGCCTTACCCTTAATCTGTTCAGATATTTATTTACTAATGCTTTTTTTCTTAAGAGTCATGGGATAGGAAAATGAACTGTTTGCTCTTCATTTACTAAAATGATTGTAAACTCAAGTTTTTCATCAAAATAAAATTCCATTGTTTTAATGTTTCTGACCAACTTTATAAATACCTTGGCTAGATTCTGTGTCATGTATGTGTAAGTATAACTAGAAATCAAATGGTAGCCCAAAGAGCTCTTTAGTATATTTATAAGAGGCACTTAAATTTCCTGTAAATTCAGAAAAGTCACTATAAACCCAAAGCAGTTGATCAGGATTTTCTGGATATGAAAATGGAATGACTCTGGTGTTTAGTAACCCTAAGTTTCATGGCTAGTTTCTGTCTGATTCTTAATTCAGTGTTTTTTCCATTAACCTGTGCTGCTCTGTTCAGCAAACTATTTAAATATTTGATGGTCTACAACAAAGAATTATTAGTGTTTTTAGTGCTTTAGGTCTTAGGTCACTTAACTATTTATAGCCATATGTTGCACAAGACTGTTCTCTAAGCCATATAACTGCCATCTTGAAGTATTCGGCTGTGCCTGCTTGCTAGGCAAGTTGACTGTTTACATCTACTCAGGGAGGTATGGGGAGAATCATGAGACCCTCACCTGGATAGCCAGCTCTTCTACCTCCTGTTATTTACAACTCTACCGTAGCTGCATGTGGCCTCAGGGAGGGGCTAAGAGTATATAAGCTTGGGAAGACTGGGAAAGGGGTCATGGCTCCATTTGGATGCCTATGGGAAAGCCATTATCCCTTCTGGGTAAAGGTTTTCTAGTCTGGCCTCTGGGGGTAGGAGTCTCCCTCTAGGGAACCCCTCTATAAGGAAGCCTAGTAAAGCCATTGGTTTCTAAAGAGAACTTTGGTTTGGTGGAATTATTATGCCTTGGTTTACAGTGGGACCATAGAAGGGAGGGTAGGTGTTGCTTATGTCTCCCTGTGGGAAGGATTTTAGCAGCACCATACAACTGCAGGTCTTAGAGAAGCCAGTTTGTAATCTTGAACTTGAATTCAAAGGATTTAAAATTAGAGTTAACATCTTTGTTTTCATATAAATTGAGATGGCTATAATTTGGGAATGAACTATTTTTGTAATATGTCTAAGATAGTAGCACAGGAGAAATTATGTATTAGTATGAGATCAAAAAGGCACTGCAAACCTAACAGCAGGGGTATGTTTAAGCCACTGTTGAAATGGATGAACCAGCCCTGCAGCAAGTGAATATTTTCTCCCTAATTATTCAAAATGGGAACAATACTTATAGAACAAGGGAAACATTTATTAAAAATATTTAACTGTCTAATACATTATACTTTTAACTCATATTTATAGTAAAGGATTCTTACAAGGAAGAATAAACAGCTTTATGATACAATTAGTATAAGAAATATCCACATGGGGGACTTCTTTGTAGTGTAAAAACACCATACATCTGAAATGACCATTTTGCATATAAAAGCTACCAATGATGCTTCTGTGCACAATGATTAAAAAATTCAACACAAACAAAATTCAAAATATACAATTAATGCAAGCTATCCACAGCTAGCCCAAACTCAATGATGAGAAAACACTGGAGCAGGCTTAGTTCCACTTTGTCTGAAGTTACACATGGTAGATTGACTTGTATCAATGGCTCTGAGATGGCTTTTATGGAGTCAGTACATAAAAGCTGTTCTCTCCCCATCCAGTAAGCTTCACAGACTGTAAAACTTCACCAGTAATGCACTTTGATACTGTAGCTGTTGCCAAAGCAAAATGTAGTGTCTACAGTGGCCATGGCAAGTCGCTAAAGTCAACAGGACCACCCAGGCCTGCATCTGCTTCCAAGAGGCTCATGATTACAGCCATCGCTGCCTCATCGTTACTTGGACTACTTGATCCTTGGTCGTTGTCTATCATATCAATGCCTATGTGGGGGTTCTCACCTGTGGAAGGAAGAAAGGCTGGTCAGTAAGAAATACCAAAGCACACTTACATTTGGAAAGCAACTTCTCAACACACTAATTAGAAAATGATATTTAGCCGGGCGGTGGTGGCGCACGCCTTTAATCCCAGCACTCGGGAGGCAGAGCCAGGTGGATCTCCGTGAGTTCGAGGCCAGCCTGGGCTACCAAGTGAGTTCCAGGAAAGGCGCAAAGCTACACAGAGAAACCCTGTCTCGAAAAACCAAAAAAAAAAAAAAAAAAAAAAGAAAATGATATTTAACAAGGGGGAGGAGTTATTTGGAGGGCTCCACTGCCATAACTTTGTATTGTTACTGCTTTTCAGAAAGAACATCTAAAAATTAGGGGCAAAGTCCTTAAAATTCAATAAATGTTAATATTAGAGTTGAGTCCATTTTGGTATTTTGATAACCATTAGTCAGTGATTGGTTGTAAAAATAATGGCAACCAGGAAAGGAGAAGGTAGGAAAACAGATTGAGAAAAAGCTGGTGGACTGAGAGAAACAAACTGTCATCATCTGGTGACTTTTAATACCCTCTGAAGCTGCATGGGCTCTCCCTCTGAGAAATGTGGGAGAGAACCTGTGTCTGTGTTGCTGTGGAGGGATTTAGATCGCAGAAGTAGTTAAACATTTCAACATCCACATTGTTCTTACGAACTATTTCAGAACCAGTGTGTTTTATGTAGCCAGTTCTTAAAACTCACTTTGTGCTGAGTGTTTTGCAAGCTCATTGTCACTCATGGAAGATAATAATAATAATAATAATAATAATAATGCCACTTACCAAGAATAGAAGAACTATCAGAATATGGATAACCTGGGGTCTCCTGAGCCTGCCCTGGTAGTAGGCCAGTGGAAGGAATGTCTGGAGTCCCTCCATTTAGAATCTGCAAATAAAAGGGGGAAATGTAAAGTTTCCCACTCAGATAGAAATTTCATTTCCTATCATATGCAGTGCTACCAAGAAAATGAAGGATGTTGGGGGTGGGGTGCTTAAAATGGGTTCAATTTCCTAATTTTTCTCCATTACCAAACAAGGACCTGTTAGAAAACAGTCATGATAACAGGGAACGGCCTCTACTCTAAACTATTTCCTCTACATAGGATTCAGTACATGCAGATAACAAAAGCTGGGTAAATCAACTCCCTAGGATCATGCTGCCCTTGTATTTAGTTAAAGGCTTAAACACCAGTGAGCCCAGGTTGCCCTGTAAGGGAATGAGTGGCACATGGCAACATACACTGTTGAAGAAGTAACTGAGGTCAGCAACAATTTGTGAAGAGAAACGACTTTAGAGAGTAACACCTGAACAATGAAACACTAATGTTTGATCATCAAGTATGCCGTAGGCACTAAATTAAGTAACCTCTAGTTTTTGTCTTTAAGATTCGATAATAATTGCTATCACACCTCCATAATAGAAATCTTCTGTCTTAAAATTTCCCTACGGTCCAAGCTCCCTGCCCTTGGCTAAGCCATAAGGAACCAGTGGCCACTGGGTTTCAGAAACACGGGTGTCAGGCCTTGCCAGCAGATGGCGCTGCAACTTGTTTGTTCCTAGTTCAGCTTTGCAGTGTGGGGATCCCTGTACATTCTTTAAGTGACTGTGTGCCTCCCCCAAGAAATCTTTTAAGTAGGCTATATTTATATAATAATATATATTATATAATTAAAAAGCATTATATAAATAATATATATGATTTTTGAAATATAAACCCTTTATTACCAACATGAATTAAAGCATTTTAGTGGAAAAAAATCACAAGTTACCAAAACATTTTAATGAAAAACCACAAATTACAGAAACAATTTTTTAAAATTGTGTTACTGTTTTCTATCTTTCGAACATTATGCCTGGCTAACCTAAGGTTTTTAACTTACAATCAGTATAATTTACATAGGTTTGCAAACTCTCTGATAAAGATGAAAGCCAGTGTTTCTAGTGGCATCTTCTAGACAGCTCTTCATGAAGTACTTGTGGCCGGTGCTATCACATCATAGGGACACATTTGGTGACAGATCCCCAAGTGTTCAGCTAGAAAGCCTGGCTTGACTTGAAGTCTGGCTAATGCTGTTTGCTTTTACTAATGGTTTCGGTTCACTTGAAGTTCCTGGCAGTAAGGTTCTATGGGGTCCTTCCTAATCTTTCCCTCACAGGAATTCTTGAATTGTGCCCTCAAAGGGACTGACAGTTCCTCTTTCTTCATAATGTTTTTCCTGCCTTCCTGCATTCACATGGAATACATCCTCTTGAGCAAGCCAGCAAGCCTCCCTAAGCGCCAGTGTGTTGTGTAGTCAGCCACACATAGATGTGTTTATTTCGAGGAGGAAAGAACGTCTCAACTTATCTCAGAAGTCACTGTGTTTCAGAACTTGGGTAGAAGCTCTCTTAGTCTAAGCCATCATGCTTACCTTCTTGCCTCCTGGAGAGGAGGCATCAGGGGGAGGCGTACTTGTGATGTTCAGTGGGCTGGAGCCACAGCTGGAAGGCGATGACCCTCTTATCCTGTTAGAGAAAAGCTGATTACAAGGCCTTTCAGGGTGGTGGGGTTAGGGAGATGCTAAGGAGTGAGGGTAGGGAGAGTAAGGAGCTAGGTTAAGGACTGGCACATGTTCTGTAAGGGTCAGATAACTCTTGGTTCTGTAGGCCATCTGGTCTTTGTCACAGTAGTCCACATGCAATGCATAATGAATACAGCTGTGTTCCAATAAAGCCTTATTTCCAGAGTCCAGTGGTCAGCTGGATTGCTCTGCATGCATCTAATCTGGAGTGCAGACCCCAAAAGTAATAGCTGTGCAAGCCTTTAGATTAGGGTTTGGATTCAGGTTGATGAGCCAGCTTTATGTCTTCATAGAATACAGATGAGGTGGAGACCTCAGGAGTTTAGCCACCCTCTTTGTTACTATGAGTTGGAAGTAGAACAAGAGATAGGTCCTCTTACCCACAAACCTTTACTGATGAGTGCCCCTAGGAAATAGAAGGCAGCAATGCAGCTCAGCCACACCTAAACAGGACACTAATAGGTAAACAGGAGCAGCCTTCTTGGGAAGCGAGGGATGAAAGATGGATCTGGGACTTTTCTGGACTTCCCACTAGGGTAGACTTGTTAGGAGAATCAGAACTATGGAAGCGCGTACCCCTGGGAGGCTGGTAACCCTAGGGAGGGAAGCTGTGGCTTGCACCAGGGGTTCATGTGCTAGTTGTGCTTACATGAATCCTTGCTTCTACCTCTTGTGTTTTAGGGTCATGTCCAAGCTGGGGCCAGAGTCTGGGGATTATGGAGGCAGCTGTGTGACCACCAGGCTTTCCGTTCCTCCATGATGAACACAGCCTATTAGAGCCACACTGGGAAAGTCTCTGTGCCTGAGAAATGGCTCTTGGCCTGCACTGACTACTTGTCTTTATTTGTGAGGAAGCAAGTTCTCTGTCTCCTGGATTAGAAGCTCCTCAAATTCAAGATACAACCCTATTATGTACAATACCGGAACATACAGATGGCCAGTAGCCGATGACCAGAACCTTGTCTCTCCCAACATTGTCTACTTAGGATGAAGGGCTGTGAAGCCACCCTTTCCCCAGGCTCTATCCGTCCTCGAACTGCCTTCTCACCATTCTTTACCTTCAGCACCTGGTCCTAGACTGCTGACTTCTCTGTAGGACAGGCGTCATTCCTGGGTTAGCAAGCATGCCCGCCTTCGTCTCTCCCTGTTCTAGTGAGCTTCCACAATGTATAACATAGCACTTCCTTGCTTGCCTCAATCCCTGAAGTCCCCACTTATCCTATTATCATAAAGAAAATAGACCTCTCATGGATTTTAGGATTGTTCTGGTGAAGGGCTCTGATACTGTGTTCTGATGGTCTTGTATAGAGCCCAGGGTATATGGTGGCTGGTCTGAGCTGATCATACTGTGTCCTGTCTCCTCATTTCTCTCCAGAGGTGGAGGCAAGCAGCTAAACCCACCACTCTATGGATTGGAGTAGAACCTACTCGGGTGGGGACAAGAGTCCCTCTGGCTGAGCAGAGAACAGTCTAAGTCAGTGGCTGCAGAAAATATTGGTCTTTCTGGGCCCCCCACCCCTTTCCTTACAATTATGTTCCATTACGTTTATATTTTTAAGTATCTGGTTACCACCTTCTTGGTTCTCCAAATTCAAGCAGATTTATAAATAACTGTTTCCTTCTCAATGGGTATGTTTAAAAACAGACTGAGCTCACAGTTTCTGAGTGTCTATTGTATATCAGGCTGTTCATTCCTTCACAATCCTAACACAGTCCTTAGGAGAGACATACTACCTCTCTTCTGTGGCTTAAGTTAGCATACCAAAGATTAGATGGCTCCCCTAAACAGAGCCAGGCGGATGCAGGACCAGGATTGAATCCTAGGCAGCTGCTGCCAAGCTCTGCTTCCACATGGAAAGGATGCTCCCACACCCTAGAAAACTGCCTCTGTTGCCAGCTGATCTGCTTGGCCTCTATTACTGACTCTGGGTAGCTTGAAGAAGTATTCTTGTTAAGACCCAAATCACTAGCTACTCAGAGCTTACTCCAGACCTGTGATGTTCCAGGGCATCCATCCTCACTAGGAAGCTACCTGGCATACATTCAAAGTGTCATGAACTGGGTTTCCCCAAGAGTGTCTTAAGCTCTGGACTGTTTGGTCTTTTTTATTTAAGGCACATTTTTTTTTTTTTTTAAAATTTGGACTCGGGAACAGAGGAACAGAAAAGTCCTGTGTGGTATAAGCAGCATTCTACCCAACTGTGATGACCCAAAGTGTCTCCACACACTGTGAAGCACCTGGGAGGGTGAGTGTGAAGTGCTGAGCACCACTGGTTGGAGAGGCAGCCAAAGGGATTACTTGCCTGTGGATTTCCATGATTTCTTCTGCAATCATTCGACCTATTTTTCCTGCCCCAGCTCTGGTTCCCCCTGGAATGCCTGGAACAGTGGGATGAGTCCTCTTTGGGCCACCTACAACAAAGGAATCTGACAGTAGGAAAGAGGAAACCAGAGCAAGAAATGCTATCATGTGTTCAATGAAAACCTCCCGATCCACTTGAAGTGGAACATCGAGGTTCTACCTTGTCAGGATAAACAGTTGTAGAGGGGAAGGCTCAAGAGTCTATTCAGCATCAGAGGCCAAAGTTTTGACATGAACCAGCTAATTTCCTTCATGTGCCAGGACTAGAGACAAGACAGCAAAGGGTGATGAGTTGACAGGGAATCGGGCAACACCCAACTCATGCAAGCAGGTGCAGCTTTTTGGAGGAGAGTCACCAAGCTGAGTCTTCTTGAGTATATATGAGCTTGATAGGTGTTCACGAGAGCAAAGCAGCCCAGACCTAGAACCAATGTGCAAGAGCACTGGGGCAGGACAGAGCTTGGAAGTCTACCGCAGGGTGTTCACGGAGGATGACTAGGTTGTAAGTTTGGAACTGGTGTAAACACAGCAATCAGATCATGCCGTACTGGCGACATCAAAAAGGATCACAAGAGGTAAAGACCAAGGGACTTAGCGCAGAAAATGCACTGGGTGCAATGTGGATTACTAAAAGTCTATCACACCGAGCACAAGCTGCAGTTATGTGTCACTTAATGACAGGGATATAGCCCAAGAAATGTAGCCTTAGCTGAGTTTGTCGTGTAAGACTCCATCAAACCTACACAGAACAGTCTACAGGGTGTCAACTACAGGCTACAGGGTGTGGCCTGTTGCTCCTAGGCTACCAACCTATGTTACTGTGCTATAGGTGACCACAGAGATGACACCTGTGGCTCTAAACAAGTTTGAGGGTAATGATTATGACATCAGTTGGTAAAATGATATTTGTCACTTATGTGGTCTGACGATAACCAGAATGTTGCTATGCTGTGTGTTATGTAGAATGCAGTATGGGGTTGAGAGAGTGAAATTAAAGTTAGGGCACAGTGTAGAAGCAGTGGGTGAGTTTAAGAGATAAAAGGACAGAATAGTGCATTTGGACTGCACAGAGGAATGAGAGGAACCAATCATTCTGGAAGTGCAGAAAATGAACTTGGGATATTCTTCATTTCAGTGCCTCTGTGGTTCTGTCTGGGGCAGCAGTGGGTGGGTGTGGGAGTCATGAGTGGAAGAAGTAGGCTGAAGACATGCAAGCAGAGGTGGTTCAGGACAAGTACACTAGAACCAATGCTGAGCCACAGGGAAGGTGCCCACTGGATATGGCAGGTGCTCAGTTCCAACAGATCCCTTTCTCCCAAGCCAAAGAGCCAGTATATCACCAAAGATCAAATCATAACCGATGGGCAACAAGGAAGAGGTGAGCACAGAAAAACAAGGAGTCTAGGTGGCTGCAGGAAGAGCCACACACATTCACAACATCCCAGTAAGATGACGGTAGCCCCTCTTCCCACTGGGACTCAGCACATCAAGCCAAGGTCTGCTTCACAGAACATGACAACAGGATACCCTGAACACTTGAAGGGAGGATAGCTGGTCATAAGCAGCTTCTCGTAAGCAAGCCCCAATACCCAAGCAGGACATAATTACCTTCTCCAGAGGGCAGCATGCTGTCCATGCTATGGGGGGACGCTGTAAGCTGCGGGAAAGCTGGGTCCCCGCTTTCCAGGACGTTGGCTCTGTGAACATCCCAGCAATAAGGAAACATGAGTCAGGCTTGCTCAGAACCGTGCACCTTTCACCTTGGCCAAGGAGTCCGGTGTCCACTCGGGACCTGGACAGGCCAGAAAATGAAGTGTCTGTCTGAGTGGCTGAACAGATCTACTCACTGTTCTGTAAACATGATGGACAGCATCCTGGCCTTTGGCCCCACTGCCCACCTGGGCCTCCCTAATTTCTATGCAACACGGTTTAGTAGAAGTGGCTGCAGTTGCCCCCTCTCACTGCTACAGCACTTTTTCTCCTACCTGCCGACAGCTCACCCAGCTCCAGGCCCCTGTGTGCCGCTAACCACAGGTGGGTGAAAGAGGTATGGAGAAGGATCTTGTGAAAGAAGGCTCTTCCCTCTCCTTGCTGGCTTAGCAGGCAGCAAAAGCCTTTGAGAGAGTATTCTATCTGCCAAGGCTTGGGCCACTAGCCTGCTTGCCATGGAGACCCACCCATCCTCACCCAAGGTCAGAAAGAGCTAGTACCTATGTAAGCCTTTCACCAATGGGTGACGCCTTCCTCCACCAGCATAAGTGGATGCCCATGTGTGGAGTTAGGTTTAGGGTTAGGGTTTCAAGGGTTGGCTGTTCCCTGGAGCAAGTCTCACCATTGGGGCTCACATGGGAGGAGGGCCAATGCCCGTCCTTGGTTAACAACCCCTCCTGGCTTCCTCTTAACACAAGACACTAGTAAGGTGACATTAAAATGTGGATGCTGGCTACTGCCTGTACCCTTTGTCCCAGTACCCTTGTACCCTTTGAAGCAAGGCTATATCTCACAGAAGATACTCACAAAACAACAGTGTTGGTTGAGACAATGTATTCTACTTCCTTGGTCCACGGGTTCATGAAACTGAACCATCGACTTCGTAGTGTGATAAAGGAACCATCTTTGATCTTAAACTTATAGCAATTAGTTGTGATCTTTTCTCTTGTCTGTAAAACTGAAAATGCAGAGGAGCCATGATTATTGTCATTTCCTCAAACCAGTGAGTATATTAAACAGATCACCTGATCCCAGATGCTCAGCCCCCATGCCATCACCCTTAGAAAGCCAAGTGGGCACGTGGTCAGTGCTCAGACAGGCAGCTTCCAAGGATCTAACTCATAGCCTTTCAGTCAATGTGCCACCCCTTTCCAGAGTCTATGAAAATGAAGGCTTTCAGGAATGTTCCAGCCATGTTCCTTCCCTGTCACAATGCCTAAGAGCAGTAGTCCCTGGCCAGGAAATCTGAGTCAACAGAGGCCACTGACCTGTTCAGATCTCATCTTTTGAGAAACAGACATCATGAGCATCTTTCATGCCCAAGCATTAGAAACAAAAGAGGCAGAATATGACTCATGCCCTCTGGAAAGAAATGACCAAGGCCACTGAACACTCCAGCCAAGAGCAGGAAAGAACCACACAAAGGCCAAGGGGTGACAGGGTCAGTCTAGCAGGCAGGAATAGGGAGAGGGTCACAGACAGAACCGATCTGGGAAGTGGAATCAAGGAACTGGGCCAGGGCCAGGAGATGGAGGTGGGAAGTCTGGGATCTGGTGCCTGTTGAAAGTGGTTGTATGTTGAGTCTAAACATTGGAACATTAAACAGGGATATGATATTATCAGGTCCTATCTATTTAACACTAAATGAGATAACTACAGGGGATGGACCCAGGGTGAGAGGAAGTAAGAGACCCACAAGCACAAGTGCTTGAACCAGAGTCAAGGCAGTGGGGGTAGTGAAAATAGGGAACTTCATAAATGGATGTCTGAGGCAACTGAACAAGCTCTTGTAGAAACAGTGAAGGGAGGGGCTGCATATGTAGCCATATCATCTGTGATCATCAGCTCTGTCACCCTGATACAGCCTAGATCACTTGGTAAAAGAGTTTCGATGAGGGGTACAGTGAGCTGGCCTGGGGCACATTTGTAAGGAATTGTGTTAATAAAGTTAACTTACACAGTGTAGTGGGTGGTTGTCTGTGCCATACCCTGAAGCACCGCCCCTAGTGAGGCAGCAGTAGCTGCTAGGTACCTGCCCCCTTTGGCGTGTCCCAGACAGGGACCCTTAAGACCTGGGATGCACATACACGCGCCTCTCTTCTCTTTGCTACCTTGTGGTCTTGGATGCTGGTGCTGCGGATCAAGGCAAAACTCTCCTGAGAAACTCATTGGACCGTGCCCCACCCTTCCAGGATTCCGAGACCAACTCCTTTATTCTTGTTGTGAGTTAACCCCCGAATAAATTCCTTTGACCATCAAATAGACTCCGTGGAATTATCCCATTAACACGGCCCACTATGGGCAGCACCATTCCCTTCGTGGGGCCCTGAACTATGTAAGAGCAAAGACACTGAGATGAACACAGCAAGCAAGTGAGCAAGCACGTGTTCACTTTCTACTCTAGACTATAGGTGTCATGTGACTAGCTGTCTTAAGCTCCTGCCACTGTGACTTCCCGTAGCAATGGACTGTACCCTGTATTGTGAGCTGAAATAAACTTTCTCTCCCATCTAAGTTGCTTTTTATCTGGGTATTTTGTCACAGCAATAGAAATAAAACTGACACCATGAGTCAAGGAAAATACAGGAGGCAATGCAGCCTGGTATGGAAAGAAAATCAGATCAGTGCAGGACATATGAAATCTGTACAGGCTCAGAGTGAACCCTCACCAAGAGATATCTCTACAAACAGTCATGGCCTTGTGCAGTGAGTAGGGGCCAAGCATTGGAGGGGACAAATGGTTCAGGAGCCAACAGTCTTTTCCCCTCTCACATGCTGTGGCCTGAAGAGTCTTGGGCTAGCTGACTCCCACATAGTAGGGGCAATTTTCTCTGGAAGGAGAAAGTGGAGTGAAGAAGCAGGGTACACTTTAGAACATCACATTCCTCCTATGGCCCAGCTTACCTTGCCTGTGACATTCTGCAAGATGTCCTATGTCATCTTGATGAAAATACTCATAACACGACGTGCCTAGAAGTTCCTGTGGTAGATATGCCAAAATAGCCGTTGCCCTAAGAGAGAACAAGAGCTTTTAAGTAAAAGGCCGCTCCTAAGATGAACAGCCCACTTCTCCCCATCACAGCCTCCAGGAGAGCAAGGTGAAAGCTGGAGGCAAGAAAGCTAGATGCTTCTCAGTGGATTAGATATGTGGGTGCCCACCCACCCAGCCTTCCAACTTGAATCAGGGTTATAAAAACAGAGCAAAACAAAGCAAAAATGACTTCAGGGGCTTTCATCAGAAATCAAATTTCGGGAGGTCTTTAAATGACAAGATTACTATATTAATGGTGTAAAAATAAGATAGAAATCTAAATTCCAGGGCAGGGCTGCTCCTTTTTCACTGCTTGCTTGTACCAGGACAGCTAAAGCCCAGACTCCTACAGCTGAGACCACGAAAGCCTTAAACAGTAGATGCCTACTCTTCTGGCATCTAGTGGCTGTCTCTAGGAGCTAGTTATTAGCCTGTGAATATTCCCAAGAGAGGCAGCAGCAGCAGTGAATTTGGGACATCTGGTTCACAGGCTAGATCTAGCACCAATTAGCTATGAGTCCAGCAGAAGTTGATCCACAGGCCAGACCTCAGGTCCTCATCCATAAGATGAAGAGGATGGCTAAGAACAGTGCTGTCCAACATGGCTTTCTGCAGCAGTGCAGTCATCTATGTGCTGTTAGCCATGTGGAGTGTGTGGGGAGTGCCCTGAGAAACTCAAGCTTTGATTTTAACTAATAACATTGAAATTTAAATACACAGACAAGTCCACCATGGCCAACTCTACTGGAAAGCTCAGGTCTAAATAGCTCTTTTTACATCTTATATTGCCCTTAACATCATGACCCTGGAATATTTCATAGCTGTAGGTTGTATTTCTGTTTCCTTTCAGAACTGAATTTCAAACCACCCACTTAACTGTCACTATATATCAAAGAGTACTGAGAAGAATCTGTATTTATCATGCTATCCTCATGAGCCTGATTTTTAGACAGGACTCTCACTTCCCTTGCTCTATGTAGAAATGTGCAGCCAGAGATGGGGTGTTCATTACAGGGTAGCTGAGGCCTAGAGTCACTCGTCTCAGGTTTTAGAAAAAAAATATTATTATTTATTTTATTGGTAAAACAAGGTCTTATGTAAGCCAAGATTGTCCTAAACACTATATAATGAGAATGACCTAGAACTTCTCACCCTCTGCTTCTACCACCCAAGTGCTGGGATTCGAGGCCTGAACTACCACACGAGCAGCACAGGGTGCTGGAACAGAACCCAAGGCTTCATGCATGCTAGGCAGATGCTCTACCAACTGAGCTACACGCCCAACAAGAGTAGAAAAAGCCAGTTGATGACCCAGTCTTTTCAGCTTTGGGTTGAAATACTCTAGAGTAGTGGTTCTCAACCTTCCTGGTGCTGCGATCCTTTAATACAGTTCGTCATGTTGTGGTGACCCCCCAACCATAAAACTGTTTTCATTGCTACTTCATAACTGTAATTTTGCTACTGTTATGAATCGTAATGTAAATATCCAATATGCAAGATATCTGATAGGTGACCCCTGTGAAAGGATCGTTCAAACCTAGGGGGTCATGACCCACAGGTTGAGAACCACTGCTCTACTGCATTGCTGAAGGGTGAGATGTAGGCTCTTACCTCTGGTCTACAAAAACGAATTTCCCATCTATAGCGTGTCGAGACACATACTCCATAGATTTCACCCTTATTTCCCCATTCACCGGCTGTGGAACCACGTGTGAATGCAATCGGCCAATTGCGACGAGGCAGCTGAGGTTACAGCCCTCGTTGTCTGGCTCGTTGTCTTCGTCCAGCCCCATCTTTGTGGGTGGCCAGCTTTTCAGATAGCCTGTGCTGTGGATGGTGCAGAAGCTTTTTCGATCTGCTGGAAAGCAAAAGCCCATGGTGAGTGTCAGTGCTGGCTTGGCAGTGGGATGCAGTCTCAAAAGATGGACAAAAAAAAGGCTGCGCTCTCCAGAAGAAGTCACCTGGTGCATGGAGCAAACAGAAATGGCCCAGCGTCATGTGTACTTAGCAGAGCCTGTACCAAAGGCATGACAAAGCACACAGCAAAGAGGAACAGACCATCTCAGGGAAAAGACTCCCCAAAAACCAATGCTGTAGGTCAGGTGAGAGCATGAGTGCTGGCCAGGGCACTGGGCGTGTCTTTACAGTGTGATGGTGAACAAAGGCACAGATGCAGACTGCAGACTGCATAGACGGCTCCCCGGATAAGAACACTTGCCTAGTGGGGTGAAATTATCCTAGCGTTCCTACATCAAGAAGGGAGGCGGAGACAGAAGCTCACAGGCCAGTATGCAGTGCTGCGGCCAGAAACAAGAGAGACCCTGCCTCAAAATAAGGTGGGAAGAGAGAACCAACTTCTGAAAGCCGTCCTCTGACCCCACACCCACACCTACAAACACATCATGGAATTCTCTCTCTCTCTCTCTCTCTCTCTCTCTCTCTCACATACACACACACACACACACACACACACACACACACACACACACACACACAAATACACACACAATAAATTAGTAAAAGGAGAAAAAAGTGGGAAAGGTAGAGCAGGGCCTTTGAGGCCTATAAAGACCCTGAGTTATTTGTTAACAGATGTGTTTAGCAGAGAAGAAATGGAGGGTCTCCAGCAGGATGTAAATGTAGAAACAGAAAAATCAAGCACTTTGGATGAAAGAGAGTAGAAAGCAGAAGTAGGAGGGCTCCAAGGTGCACAGGCAAGATGCAGAAAATGGCAAGAGACAATGGGAACTGGACATCCCAGGGTGGGTAGGAAGCAGACTGCCTCTGAGAATGGTTGGGATTTGGTATGAATGTCACACAACAAGAAGATACTGATGGACAACAAGAAAACATGGATGGCTCCCCTATTTCAGGGTTGTGTGGTTGCTGCTGCCATTCACCGATTTGGGGAAGAGAACGCAGATCAGACAGAAAAGAGAGAAACATTTTTAACTGAGACACATCTACACTTAGGGACTTCAACACTGAACAGCCCATCAGGCAGCATAAAAACATCTGAGCGGCCTGGTAGCCAGGGAGGCCCCCTTTACACAATCCTGCAAAAATCTGTGAGAAAGCACTAGAAAGGAAGTCTGTGGGGTACCACGAGAAGACTCGGGCAGTCTGTGTCTTCAGGGAGAAGGTGAAGAAACTGGAAAGAAATTCCAATCAGAGGTGGGGAGGAGTGTAGACATCGGACCTTGAAAGGGGCTGGCAGGCAGTACCCAAGGGAAAGCCAGCATGGCTCAGATGTACTGAGGAGTGGCAGGGACCTCATTTGCATCATATGCTAATTAGCATGATTCTTCAAGAGCAGCAGGAAGTCATGAAGAGTTTTAAATGGCAGGTAGGGAACAATAAGATTCACTGTTAAAGGACCACCCCACAGCTGTGTGGAGGAGCAGAAAGCACAGTGTCTACCTCAGCCTTGAGACAGCTGAGGGTAGCTGGCTCCAAGAGGTGAAACAGGCTCTCAGAAGCTGCTTTGGCTGAGAAACATGGCCTCAGAGGAGTAACTCGCAGCACAGGCAAGGCAGGGTGCCAGCCTGGCTTCTCTGCCTTCATTTTGTATTGCCTCCTTTACTTTGGCTGAAGGCACAAAGGTAAACCATTGCTCCAAACCTGCTATCACCCTGGACTTCGGAAGAACAAACCCAAGAGGAACAGTCCACTCCAAATGAGGGCAGTTACCCATGAGGGCAAGGCTGCACCCTGGAACAGAAGCGACTGTCCCCCAAGCCTGCCTTGCCGCTTCACATCATAGTAGGACAGATCTGGCCCACTGTTTAGGAAGCGAGCTGAGACAGTGTTCAGCGAGACCATGCCTAGACCACAACTGTAACTTGGCTCGCCCCTTGCTCCAGTTCTTTCTCTATTTAGTCCTAAACACACATCAGTTCCCCAAAAGACAGACTCGGGGCCACTGGACCCCTTTATCTGTTCCTCTCCCCAGTGTGGCCACACTGAAGACATCTCTCTCTGCTTGTCACCATCACCTGTCTCTCTGTTGGGGACAAGTGGCCTAACCTGGCTTGTTGCAGCTGCTGGAGCCTAGGCTTTTCCCTAAAATCTCTGGTTCCACAACTGGAGAAACAGCTGAGTGGAAGAGCACTTGCAGCTCTTGCCGAAGAGCAGGGTTTGGTTGTTAGCATCCTTATGGCAGCTTACAACCATCTGCAACTCCAGTTCGAGGGGATCCAATGCCCTCTTCTGGCCTCTGTGGGTACCAGGTAGCATGTGGTACACTGATATTACACAAAAACAAAACACTCATATACATAAAATGAAAATAAATAAAATCTTAAAAAAAAAAACAACTCAGGTTATGCCTGGGCATAACTAAATACCATAACTTAAATCAGTAATATTAGCAGGCCCAGGTCAGGGAACCAGTGGCTATTCTGCAGATACCCTTGAGACTTACTATAAGAAGGTAGATTTAACCTACATACATGGAGTTCAAAAGAGAAGCCTGAGCTAGAAATGTAAACTTGGGAGTTTTTGACCTGTGAGTGACATTACATATATATACATCAATGTGGACAGAGGACAGACAGCAGCCCCAGGACAGAGAGGAGAGGCAGCCAAAGGGGCCAGGGAGAGAATGCTGCAAGAAGCAAGAACAGCATCCCACGCATTTAACACATGGTCACTGGGGAAATTGGCCCAGAGGATTCTAGAAGGGTGGGTATTCAAGAGACAGAACTGTGGCTGAGTGTGTTTTTTCCAAGCCACATCAGGATTAAACAGACGTTAAATACAGAAAGCCTATTCACAAATCTGTGCCCATGGCAACACATCAGGGCTTCATGGCTCCCCACCCCCATTTTAGCTGCCCCAGGCTATAAGGGGAGAGGAGGCCCTGACTTCAAGCTTGGGAGCTGCTGCTCTGGCCATCTGAAAAGCCCTGACCCAAGGCAAGCCTCCTTAAGGCCGGGATGGGAAAGGGCTGCTAGTTGTACCTTTTTTCTTTGAGCAGGTGGAGGCGAAGTCCTTCTCTTCCACCTTCACCGAAGGCCTGTTGCACTTCATCCTACAGAAGAAAGAGCGGCGAGCTCCAGAGCACAGTCGGGACGGCCCGGGGGTTATATCTGTTTTAACCGGAAGTCCAGCTGCAAATAACACAAAATGGAGTGAAATGAGGGCCAGGCTGTCTGTCAGGAGGGGCAGTGCGACCTCAAAAGTAGCCTTTACTGCCTCACTGTTGGTAACCACGGTATGCGATCAAATTTCTCTCGGGCTGAGAGGTCAGAAGATGCATGGAGAAGCCCAGTGTTCACGTGGGAACGTTTACACGTGGGCAGGAAATAGAGCAGCACTCGTGGCATGGGTGATCAGGGGGGCAAAAGAAACACAGCAATGTGTTCCTGCCTAACAGGAGCTGAGGAAAGACAGGGAAATGGAGGTATACCAACAAGGACTGAAAACAGGGAAACTTAATAATCAGTGCCAAGTAAGTGGCAGACACCTGGTTCCCAGCCAAAGGACAGGGGTCCTACCCAAAGGATGCACAGGATTGGGATATTGGAATTGGAGGGGGCACAGGATGACCTTAAAATTCCAGGCTGACTGGAGTCAGAATCCCTTGGGGGCCCAATTCGTAGACTCCATTCTAGATGTGTGCTCCAGGTGACAGCCACTAGTGTCATGCTGCTGTGGACTGTGTCCTTTCTGAACTGAAAAGGGTTGTGTGAGTGCATGCATACGGGATTCCAGAGACAGCACAAAAAAATGTTAAATCTTTAAATCTTTGTAACAACTACATCAAGATAATATTTTAGATTCATTGTGTTAGGAAAGATGTTATAATTAGCTTTGCATTTATTCTTACTTTTGACTCATGTGGCTACCCCAAACCCAAAAATAGACTTGTGGTTTTAACCATGGCACTGCAGATGGAACCCTGGGCCTAATGGCCTCTACCAAGCTACCATTTTGTTCTGTGAGGTCAGGCTATGAATTTACTCTGAAAGGTCCTGGGGGACTTTGACACACACGCCTCCTTACACAACTCATCGTTGTGAAAGCTGACTGCAGACACCACTGGGGGGCACCACAGCCATGCCAAGTAGTGGCCACTGCCTAGGGCTTCTCTCCACATTGCCCTCCACAACACTGACTCTACTAACTTCTCTAGAATGCCAATTCAAACCTGCCCCACTGGTTCAGCTCCCTTCACTGTATCTCTCTCCCTGCACATTTTGCTGTAAAGGCAACAGGTCATGAGACTCCACCTGGTACCTATCCACAGATCATTTCCTCTGCTCATCTCTCTTCTCCTCCTGGCATACATTAACCCATCTCTCCAAACCCACCTTAGGTGCCAGACTCAATGGTGCCTGTCCATACCTAAGTGAGATTTACCCATCCCATGCTCCATGCCTGGCATTATTGTAGCTACAACTATTGTGCAGGGTATTGCCCATGTCCCTGTCTCCAGACCATGTGAGAAGAGTCTCAAGGACAAAATGTCATTCATCTTTTTCTCCTTAGGTCAGTGAAAGGTGCCGAGGCCAGGCTACAAACGACAACAAACAAGTCCCAGGGCCAAAGTCTGCCTTTATGGAGATATACAACTTCCTGCAAATATGCTTTGAGGGGAGTTCTCTGACACCATCTCCATCAGCAATCAACACAGAGAGCTGAGAAACAAGAAAACCTTTAGGCCCGACTGCCCTGGGCCCAGATGGGTCCAATCTCAGTGCTACACTTGCCATGCGCTGGGAACCATCTACATTCTTTGTGTAGCAAAGTCAATACCATTCATCTTTCAACAGCCCAATGAAATCGGTCTGTTTCGCAGGTGAGGGCACAGGCACAGAGAGGTGAACAACTTCCTCACAGCCACACAGCTAGTGACAGCTGGAGGCAGGATGTGTGCCTAGCCTCCCGCAGGGCCAGCTCCTGGGTTTTGATCTGAGAAGCAGAGAATGTCTGTGGGGAACAAGGGTTAAGGAGAGAGAAATGCTGACCCTAAGCTGTAGGAAGTGTGGCTTTTTTTTTTTTTTTTTTTGGTTTTGGAGACAGGGTTTCTCTGTGTAGCCCTAGCTGCCCTGGAACTCACTCTGTAGACCAAGCTGGCCTCAAACTCAGAGATCCACCTGCCTCTGCCCCTTGAGCGCTAAGATTAAAGGCATACGCCACCACCGCCAGGCTGAAACAATGACATTTTAAGTGTTCTCAGGTTTCTCTTCTGAGGATGCATAAGCGCAATTCACAGAGAGAGACAGAGAGAGAGAGACAGAGAGAGAGAGACAGAGAGAGAGACAGAGAGAACTTGTCCTGGGAGAACAAGACAGTGTGAGCCCTTTCACCTCAGGAGCATGCTACTAGGAAGTTCTAGACTCTGGGAAAAAAAAAAAATGACCAGAAATCAGATAGAATCAAGTTAAAGCAGTTCCTCCTTCCACGAAGTTCAGGCATTGAAACTTCTCTTCTGTAAGTAGACTACAGTGTGAATAAACCCAAGTGACTGTAAGTAAGTCCAGTTAGCCACAGCAAGCAGCTGTCATGGAGAAAAATGGCAGAGAGGTAAGACGGGAGAGGCTCTCTGTGCCTGGGCACTGGTGGGGCCGTGTGGTGGCGGCATGCATGGGTGGGCATAAGGAAGCACAGAGCCTCCCCTGCACTCACTCTTTGCGTCAATGAGTCGCTCCCGGGGGGCGGTGTCTGAAGAAGAGAGCTGTTCCTTGACTTTGGCAATGTCTTTAGGATGCAGGTAGTCAAACAAACTCTGGCCAATAAGGTCATTCTGTGGATGAAATGTGAATGGACAAGTCAGCGCCAGTGAGATACGGAAGACACAGCAGCACTCACAGTCTGTATAATCCCGGTCTCTACTCTGCCTTCGTAAGCCCGAACATCTCACGCACTCATGTGACCTTGCACACACATCCAGCCCTCTGCCTAGACAGACACCAGGAAGAGACACCTGTCCAACACCCCTGAGTTCCCCAGTAGACCTTAAAAAGAAAAACCACAGAGAGTGGGCCTTTTCCAGCTCTAACATTAAGCCCCTTTGTTCTTTTTTTGAGGGGTATTTGTTTTGACACAGAATTTCCCTGTGACATAGAATTTGCCTGGGACTCTATGTAGTGCAAGCTGTCCTCAAGTTCATGACCTTCCTATCTCAGCCACCTGAGTACTAGGGTGAGAGTCCAACTAGCCAAGTCCTATCTTTGTGTGCCTTTGTCACCTGTATCTGCTCACAGGGATAACAAATCTCCCTTAATGAGTGCCCTGAGAAGAAAAATAAAAAAGTAAAACATCTTGGGAAAGCTAAAATTACATGAATTCTCATTTATAGACATGGCATTTTGATTAAAATCTGCCTACCATGCTTCTATACAACTATCAAGATGTAAATGAGTAAATAAATTAACAAATATTCTGAGAACATAATAGGTGAAATGATTATTTAAGAAACTTTCATATGCCCCTCCTATTTAATCCTACAGGCAATCAAAAAAAATCATGTAATGTTAATGTTAACAGAATCTAGAATCTCCTGAACAATGGGCATCTGGGCATGCTTGCTAGGGGTAATCTTGATTGTTAATTGATGTGGGACGACCCACCCACTGTGCCAGGCCCATTCCCTGACTGAGATCCTGGACTGCATAAATGGAGAATGGGAGGCGGGGCTGGCATGCATCCATTGCTTGCTGTGGATGTGATGTGACCAGCTGCCTCAAGCTCCTGATGCTGTGACTTCCCTCCATGATGGACTGTAACCTTGACTTTGAGCTGAAGTAAATAAACCCTTCCTCCCTTATGTTGTCTTTTGTCAGGGTGTTTTATCACAGCAACAAGACAAGAAACTGAGACCACTTGGGTCATTATTATTAATGTATAGAGGATGCCAAGGCTCAACAGAGCTTCCTAGCATTGTGGAGTAAGTTTCCAAGGTTCTTATTCTTGGGTATTAATTACCTGTCTGCCTTTCTCTCCCTTGTCAGACAGTTTCACTCCCCACTGCTAGTCCACAGACGTGGGATCTTTATTTTGTAGCAATAAGAAAACTCAAGAGTCAGCTTCTCCAGTTGGGGGAAATATAGGACCCATTAAAATTCTTCCTAAGTTTAAATTCGCCTCTCTGATAAGCAGTTAAGAATTTTTGGAAGAAGGGTATCACATGTGGCCCATATACTTTAATTCTTCTGAAAAACTGGGGTGCTACTTCTAACTACCATAAAGCTGGCAACCGCTAGCAGGGGCTCCAACGTTACCTGGCTATAATTGAGGATCTTGAAGACAGACTCGGAGACAAAGAGGATCTTCCCTCGGTCACATCCTACGACAAACAAAAATCCATCTGCTGCCTAATCAGGAGAAATGGATAATCAATTTATCACAGGTCAGGACACATGATCTGAAAGCAAATCAGGGATTTGTTTTCTAAGTCTCCAGTACATGAGGTCACACACTGACACCTTCACTGGCATTAGAGGAAGAGGATGCTTAGAGACAATACTAAGGATATCAGTAAAAAAAGAAATGGACAGTTGTGGGATGACTCAGCCCTAACAGGCTTGAGGGCCCACTGGCCCAAACCAGTAATAAGATACTTCCTGAGAGTCAACCTGAGTCTGCCTACGGGCCTTAGCAACAACAGCTGAGACATGATCTGAGATGACCTGGACCAATGAGAGGCAGCCATTTCACATCAGCAGATGCATATTCATCAGACCTTCCCCTGGGTGGAGGGTATATAAGGTATATAAGGCTTGCCTCTTCCTGAATAAACTGGGCTTGTTGTTTCAACATCCTCCCAGAGTCTGTGTTGTTGATTCTGCACGTACTTGCCCCCTCTCCCAAAGGAAACAGCACAGGACCCTGCCACATCTGGCACCCGAACAGGGACCTGTTTGTCTCCCTTTCCTCATGTGGCACTGGTTGAGCAGTCCCCTTGAGTGGTGTATTTCGGTGAATAGGCCCCTTTACATTGTGTGCTTTTGGTCCCTTCAGCAGGTAAGTGCTGGGACTCCCACTTTCTTCTTGTTGTTTGTCTTGTTTGTGAGTCTGTCTGTACAGTAGGGTGGCACATACTTTTATTCAGGCTTTCTTGATGTTTCCATATTAGGGCTGGACCCTCAGGAAATGGAACCATGGTCTCTGATGTCTATCACACCTTCTATCACTATGGGAAATTTCCTCCTTCACTGTAAAGAGGCCCCTATTGGAGCCCTCAAGTTCTTCCTAAGCAGCCAGGGGCTCTGGGCTACAAGATTAGAACTAGAAAGGGTTTGGATGGAGGCTGTGGTGCTTGCTCCATGAATCTCTTCAGAGAACATGTGGGAACCTGATCTTTGGATGAGAGTTCTGTTTCTGGCCAGAAAAAGGGAAGTGGCCTCGGTAGTAACCCTCCAATTGTTTTTTATGCCCATTTTGTTGGCTATAATTGCTGGTCTAAAGTCCTCCTCTACTGAGGGGGTCATTAAGGCCCAGAATAAGCACTGCCAGGAACAATGTAACACCAACTTATCTATCACCTTTGTTCCGTCCATGAATGAGATTTCCTCCACCTCTGATGACAAGGAGATGGATGAGAATAGGCATAAAGTAAAGGAAAAGGATGGAAAAAGAGAAGAAATGATTGTGGCAGCACTCAAGCCTACACCGGCAGCCCTCTCTCTGCCCCTCCCCCACCCATGCCTTAAGCGGCTACCCCCCCCACTGCAGTATCCATGGAGTGATTTGCCTGATGCTTGCCTACTGAGCCAGCTGCTACCTCCCAGCCTATTCTACCTATGGTGCCACATATGTTCACCATGACATTTCCAGTTAATGTGGGCCCCAATGCGGCCAACCAGCCATGGATACCTACCCTTTTTGCAGACCTGTCCTTGGTCCGTAAGGCTGCTAATGAACTGGGTACTGACTCACCATATTTTGAGCAAGTCCTACGGCAATGGGCAATGCATTTACAGACTTATTATGACTGGTACCATTTGATGAAGGCTTTGTTGGAGCCTGCAGTCTTCCTTAACTGGTGAGCTGCCTATGATGACCAGGCTGAGGCTCAGCCTCGTTTAAATATACAACACAATATCGCTGTTTCTCTTGAGATGCTCACAGGCTGAGGACCATATGTTAACTGTCACACAAGCCCAAATTGGACAACAGGCTTACTTACCCACCATTGCCCTTGGTGTGTTGGAGGGATCCCATCACCCTTCAATGCCAACCCCTATTCCCCTATTAACCCAGGGGCAAGGGTATGCTTACATTTTTCCCCAGAATACTGCCACACCAATATGGATACCCTCCAGAGATTGCATCCAGCAACAGACCAAGAGACTCTGGACAAAGAAGAAGCTTCATAGGGGTAATATATGATTTGCCCTGCTACTGCGGCACTAGTAAAAGTCATGCCACGACTGGCATGTGAGCCTAGATATCAGGCAATTGCCTCACCCCCTACAAGGTTGTTAATGCATCATCAGAAAGACTTCAGTTGGCATAATAAATATGACTAGGGTTCCACCCATGTCCTTGAGACTGAATTTTTGACTAATCCTCCTGTTCAAATGTCTTTTACAACAGGTTCACCAATAGAGGGCAGCCACAAAGGTGACCCTACAGATTTTATTGGCTCTCAGACACCCAGAACAAAGTCTTCCTAGAGAGCTAATACACGCATGGCTCACTGAGATACAGAAGGCTACTACCTAAAGCCCTCTGCCCAGACAGCTCTCTAGTATTGACTCTCTTCAAGAGCTAGTAGTCAATGATGGGTAAGAGCTTGTTTGGCAAGCCAACCTAAAACAGGCACGGTCCATCATGCTGAGCTCTCCTAAGGTGGGGTCAACAAGGTTAGGGCAATGCACCCTAGCTCCCACTGAGCATGTCCCATAAAATAATAAAAAGGGGTGGATATGTGAGATGACTCGTTCCTAACAGGCTTGAGGGCCCACTGGCCCAAACCAGTAATAAGATACTTCCTGAGAGCCAACCTCAGGGTTTGCCTAAGGGCCTTAGCAACAATAGCTGAGACATGATCTGAGATGACTTGGACCAATGAGAGGCAACCATGTCACACCAGCAGATGCATATTCATCAGACCTTCCCCTGGGCCGGGGTGGAGGGTATATAAGGCTTGCTTCTTCCTGAATAAACTGAGTTTATTGTTTCAACATCCTCCCAGAATCTGTGTTGTTGATTCTGCACATACTTGCCCCCTCTCCCAAAGGAAACAGCACAGGACCCTGGGTCTACACCCCTCTTCCCCATTACTGGGTCTGTCATGAGAATATGAGAGTAAATTACAGAGGTAGAAAGGAAATGAAAACCAAGGTACAGAATGAAACCTGCATGAACAATGACAAGGGATGATGATGGGACTAGATACACTAAAGCAGATGCCAAGGGTCCCAAGTGAATGGAGGGAACAGTTGCGTCACTAGATAGCAGTGATACACAGAGATTGTGAGTGAACTATGCCACTGAACTGAATTTAAGTGACACTTGTTTCTAAAGTTTTTTGTTTGTTTGTTTTGGTTTTTTGGGTTTTTTTGTTTTGTTTTGTTTCCCGAGACGGGGTTTCTTTGTGTAGCATTGCACCTTTCCTGGAACTTACTTTGTAGACCAGGCTGGCCTCTAACTCACAGAGATTCACCTGCCTCTGCCTCCTGAGTGTTGGGATTAAAGGCGTGCACCACCACTGCCCAGTGTTTCTAAAGTTTTATGGTATAGATAGTGTTTTAGTTTCTTTACATGCTACCAAGATAAAATACTTTGACAAAAGCAACTTTAGGAGAAAAGGGCTTAGTTAAGCTCATGGTGCAAGGTTAAAGCCCATTACTGTAGGGTAAGCTGCAGAAATTTGCAGGAGTCTGGAGAAGCTTTGCCAGGGTATTTTTAATACCCAGAGATAAAAGTGAAACTGAACAACCACTGTGGAGAACATAGAACCTGAGACTGCAAGAACCCTTTAAGATTAGATCAGGTTCCCATCCTGAGAACCTCAGCTGCCACCTGTCCTGAATTTGAACACCCTCATTCACAGAGAGTGTTCCAGACCTTCAAGATTCAACATCTACAGTGGAGTTGTTTGGGGTTTTGCTGATGGCCTGGCAAGAAGATAGGTCACTTGTGTTCCTTTAAACAAAGGCCCCTATCCTATTGTGGAATATTCCTTTATACTGTGTGAAGATGTGTCATTGTGACTGGTTTAATAAAGAGCTGAATGGCCAATACCTAGGCAGGAAGAGGTATAGGTGGGACTTCAAGACTCTGAGAAGAAGAAGGAGGAGTTGCCAGCCAGATGCAGGGGTAACAGACATGCAGGAGGAGTGATAAAAGCCATGAGTAACATGGCAACATATAGATGAATAAAATGGGTTAATTAAAATTATAAGAGCTAGTTAGAAACAAGCCTAAGTTATTGGCTGAGCTTTCATAATTAATTAATAATAAGTCTCTGCATCATTACTGGGGAGCTAGCGGCCCAAAGAAAAGTCTGTCTACACCCCTCTTCCCCATGCATGCGTCCAACACACAAACACAATTCAAATGTATGTAGGTTCAGGAACTACTGCCCTTAACCATTTACCTCTCCATCCAAAGCTAAGCTATCTGTGTTGTAAGAAAACAAGCAACAGTGGTGATGAGATGCTTGCCTGGCAGGCATGAGGTCCTAGGTTGGAGTCCCACTTGTGCCAAAAAAAAAAAACCTTCATCATAAAATTCTTCCTTCCCCTTCTTCAGGTGAAATCTAAAGTGCCAACAAAGACCAGGATGGAAACAAGACATCTGGTAGAAAGACTGAAGTAGTTGGTGCCAGAGCAATAGCAAGGGGTTAGGTTGTTTTAGCAACATGTGTCTGAATGTTCCTGACAACTTTCCGTGGATGACCACTCAGACTTGTTGGAGTCTTCTGGTGGTATGGTGGGGGTGTTCATGCACTTGCTCTTACGACTCCGCTCCCCTGGGTCCTAAGAGATTCTGAAAGCCAGGCATAGTGGCTCAGGTCTGGAATCCCAGCACCCAGGAGACCGAGGCAAGAGGACTGCAAGAATTTGAGGTCAGCCTGGGCTACATAGACAGTTCTAGGTCAGCCTGGGCTAGAATAAGATCCTTAGTAAAGGCATAGAGGAAAGACTGCTTGCACTGGTCACAGGAGGAACAGGGACCTGCTGCTAATTACCGCAACATTCAGAAGTCCTTGACAAATCCTTAAAAAAAAAAAAAAAAAAAAAAAAAAAGGTAAGTCTGTTCTTTTCACAAAGAAGAAGAAGGCCTTTTAGAATATAGAATATAGTTTAGTTCAAAGAACTAGGGCATGAACTCAAGTGCCAGGAAGTACAAGGCCAGTGTGGGCAACTGTCCTAGGACATAAAGGGCTAGAGCAGGCAATTGTTCTAGGATGTAAAAGGCCAGCATAGGCAACTGTCCTAACATGTAAAGGGCTAGAGCAGGCAACTGTCCTAGGATGGAAAAGTAAGAACAAGGGGGCAGGATCACTCAATATGAGAACCTGTCAAGCCACCAGCCATGGGAAGGAAGCTCAGGTCCCTAAGCTGGGCCAGGGTGAAGGATGACAGCGTGGGGGAAGTAATTTTCCTGGCACCATCTGCTAGAAGCCTCATTATGTCAAAAAATAGGATATTAATAACTTCCTCATTTGCCTTACAGTCATATTTCACAGGAGAAGTGTCTCCAGGGTTTGCTAAGGTGGGGATGTGGCATGAAAGGTGCCTGGGAAGAAAATGACTGACAGCCTGGTGGGAACACTGGGCAGAGTCGGGCTTGAACCCAAGACCTGAGCCAAGTGTTTCTATGGAGGGTAGGTAGGTGGCAAAATCAGCATGGATTCAGTCAGCACTGCAGGCTCCAACCAGTGCTGCACTCTGTAAAGTAGACAGCCAAGCAAAGAGGCTGGGCCTGGGGGACAGCTGAGAGCAGAGCTTTGTGAGGATACTCCCAGTGCCAAGAGCTATGAGGATAGCCAGGGTTGGCTCCTTCTCAGAGGAGATGGTTGCTGGTGAGCAAGTACTGGGTAGAGTCAGTCTAGGTTCACAAGGCAGGGAAGTAGAGTATCTGGACATTATAAGCTGGTCAGGTTGACTGACCTCACATTCTGTTCATGAGAGATTCTGAAAGTCAGGCATGGTGGCTCAGGTCTCAGCCCCCAGGAGACCGACACAAGGGGACTGCAAGAATTTGAGGTCAGCTTGGGCTACATAGTGAGTTCTAGGCCAGCCTGGGCTAGAATAAGATCCTTAGTAAAGGCATAGAGGAAAGACCATTTGCACCAGTCACGAGGAATGAGGACCTGCCGCTAATTACCGCAACATCATCTAAATCAGTCCAGACATTCATCAAAAAATTTGTAGAATGGATAAAGGGGGAAAACTGTGTGTGTGTGTGTGTGTGTGTGTGTGTGTGTGTGTGTGTGTGTGTAATGGAATCATTTATTCAGCTGTAAAGAAAACTAAAATTAATAGGACCATAGATAGGATTGGAGATCATGTTAAGCCAGACTCAGAAAGACAAATATCATGTTTGCTCTCATATGTGGAATCCAGATTTAAAATGCACACATATGTGTGTGTGTGTGTGTGTGTGTGTGTGTGTGTATTTGTGTGTATGGCATGAAAGTAAAATGAGGAGAAAGGATCTAGTAAGAAATGGGGGGATAAAGATCCTATTATTCTGCCCACTAAGAAATTAAATAACATAAATATCATGTGAGTGGAATATGCCTTCTGTTGATGCAAGTTCTTAGCAAGTGGACACCTGGAAATGGTAAGAGACTGGACATCAGTTCACAGCCACGACCATGCCGGAGAAGCAGGGCAAGTTAACACAGAAGACTACTGACTACTCAGACCTGGTGTAGCCCCTGCTATATGGAGTAAATCAGCCAGTGTGCTCACTTAGCCAGCTATGTGAACAGAGAGAGAGTCTGGCTCCTGCAGACTTCCACAGCCATCACAGCACCCCCACATGGCCCACTCCGAACCGGTCACATAAGAAACAGAATCCTATCTACCCATCAGGGCTGTTCACAGCAGCTGAAAGCTTCTCTCTTGAGGCAGCTCATCCTGAGCCAACAGTCCAGTACAGTGTGCCTGAGAGCAAGCTGAGCAGGAAAGAGGTGGGAGCCACCCTGGGCTTTGCAAACTTCTGCTGAAAGACATGGCCACAATCCTGTGGGGGCTGGCAGGCACCGTCAGCCTTCACGTTGGGGAGGGGTTAGGTATTCTACCTCTCAGTTACAAAGTTCTGTTCTTTCTCTTTACACTGTGCCAGAGGACGTGCTGCTGAATGCAGGTTCTTCGCCTTTGGATTTCTTAGTTCACCTCACTCTGCATAGCTGCAGCCTGAGGCAGGCCTCCTTTGTAGAAGCTCTAAGTTCCTATGGTGCCAGCCTGGCCGTCCCTCTGCAGAGATGTGCAAGACAGAGAGGGCACGAAGGCCAAGCAGGTGAAAGCATACCCCCTTTCATGCCTGCTCTTTGGCGATTTTGATGTCTGAATGGGTTCAGATCTAAAGATTCAGATGGCGCTTTTGTGTCAGTGGCTGGGTTAGAAGAGAAGGTCTCACCCATTGCCAGAATCAACCCTCTCTAAATGTTCCATGAGGGAATCTGACTCTTAACTCACCCCCTCCTTTTTCAGATTTATTTTATTTTATATGTATGAGAGTTTTACCTGCATGTATATATGTGTACCACATGTGTGCCTGGTGTCTGGGTCATTGGATCCCCTGGAGTTACAGATGGTTGTCAGCTACCACGTGGGTGCTGGGAATCAAACCTGGGTCCTCTGCAAGAGCAACAAATGCTCAAAAGCAGTAAGCCATTGCTCCAGCCCCTCATTCCCATCTTTAACAAAATCCTTCTCTGGCTTAAAATCACACTACTGTAGACTTTCCCTTCTTTGCCTAAGTGATATGAGAGGGAGGTGAGTGACTGGTTTCGTGGAAGGAATGTGAAATGTGTCCAGAAACCAAGATAAAATGGGGGAAGTGAGAGAGAAAGCAGGCCCAGGAGAATTCAGTGTTGAGATGTCAGACGCCCTCATGCTGTACTTACTCTGAAACTTATTAAGAAACCAATGCCGTGAAAAGGGTTCCCACAACTGCCACATACCCTGAGAATTAGGTGTTTCAGTTCGTCATCAGATAGAAATGTAGGCTTGTAGTTTGCTTCTGTGTATGGGTTGGTGGCACCTTAGGGAGAAAAAGAAAGAGTGGGCAAATTTTTCTATTTGGACAGCATCACACTCCCCTGCCTGCAACCTGGGCTGAACCCACCCCTAGGAGTTCCATCTCTTTTCTTTTACCAAAACCTGGTGGATCTGGCTTGGAACAGAATCCTATCATCCCAAGAAAAATCTCATTGAAAAGAGAACACTACTGCTCACAGGAGACTCAGTAAGCACACTTTCCAAATAAGGGGGGAAACAGACATGGGAGCTCACACCTTCAACCCCAGCACTCAGAAGACAGAAGTAGGGAGATCTCTGAGACTGAGGTCAGCCTGGTCTACATAGTGAGTTCCACGCTAGCCAGAGCTACATAGTGAGACCCTGTCTCAAAAACCAAAAACAAACATACAAAAAACCCACAAAGACCACAGCTCTAAGAGTCTCCTGGGCAGGTTCCGAGGTCCAAAGGTCTGAGGTCCTGGGCTGTCCAGTAATTCTGTCAAGTCACCACTTCACAGGTTCTAGAGAAATCATCCAAGCTGTCAGGCCCTGGGTTCACTTCCTTGGGCAAGTTAATAAGCTTGGCAACTTGGGGACCATGTCACTCTCACCCACACATTTCAATTCCCAGACTGAGGGGACCAGACTTCTGTTTAAAAGGCTCTTGATCTACTATTCTCCAGAGCAATAGCTTAGCAAAGCCAAGTGCCAGCTGCAAATGACAGGAACATGCAGAGCAGTGAGTGGCCCAGTGAAGAGCTAGGATGAATCCCATCTGTACTAATTCAAGGTACCACGAGGAAGGAGGCAAAGGGGACATCTGTGCCCTTCACATCAACTAACAAGGCACATGTCTTAATCCACATCCCTTGAAATTTTCCATCCAATTTGCTAACAATAAACATTTCTATATTTTTAATAATGATCAAAAGTCAGAATAAAAGTAACTTCTAGTGACCTTATATGGATACAAAGGCATGCCTCTCTCACCATGTAGGTCACATAGGGCCAAACACCCTTTCCAAGTTTGCCTTCAAGCCCAAGACTATCTGGAAAATTCCAAGAACAACATTCACCAAAATGGATGATGTACTTCCGATTCCTCCTGCAGTTTTGGTAAGTTGGTTCTACTTTCCTGCCTCTGTTTTCTCACCCTCCCCACACTTGGCAAAGAATGAAAATACTGCCTCCCTCACAAAGAGTCAATTTAGTTCGGGAAAATTCCAAGAAGATGAAAATATCATCAATGTTCATTTCTGATAATAAGACTTTCTACCTGTGACTCACTCATCAGGGGAACCAGGGTATGTTTCTCTCTTAGAAGTCCAAGGTTCTTTCCTGCCTCCCTGTGTGCTCCTACGCTTCTGATTTTGATCACTGTAAGGGATCCCGGCACATGCAAAGGGGAACTTGAGAGGTGCCCTCTCCGGTAGGCAGGAAGCCAAGTATACATACAGAGGCATTTGAGCTCTTATGTTTATATGACTGCAAGTTACACCCCAGTACCTGCATCAGCTCATTAATCACTTGATTGGCCCTCATCTGTTGCTGAGATGTACAGGTGTATCACTTAGGGTCACATACTGAAAGAAATTGCCATTTGTGTCAGGGACAGTGCAGGCCAAGGGTGGTCACATTTGTGGTCAAGGGCATAAAGGTAATGAAGCCTGAGATCTCACCTCTCAATGTCTTCATGTGTTGAACAGCCATCCTTAGCACGGTGAGCTTATCTAACTTCCTGGACATCGCATTGCATGTTGGTACCAAAGAAGCCAATTCATCAATGAAACTGTTCATTTTGTCCCGACGCCTCTTTTCAATCTGACTGTGGGCCTCCCTGAACATGGGAAGGAGAATGATTTCATCTGCAATGTAAGCCAGCAGCAAGGTAACACTGACAAAAATATGTGAGGTGTGACTGCTTCCAAAATTCTCTGACATGGGAAATTTAGACTCTGTAGAATGTTTCAAACTAGACTTTTATACTAAAAATCACCCCCAAATGGTCTCATTGACAAGTCAGAATTACGTAACTGATTTGTTTTTTCATTTATTTGTTTTTGATGCTTACCCCATCTTTTATGGAAAAAAACAAACAAAACAAACCTATGACAATTGTCCTTTCACAACAAACTGAATTGTCTATTTTTCCTTGTTGTTCTTTTCTTCAGATTCTATAAGACCAGGGTTTGGGGATGTGGATAGGAAGAGGAAGGAAGGAGGTAGAGGTTCCACATACCCAAGCATCCAAAAGAGCTACAGAATACCCAGGCCCCGCAGCATGTGCCTGTGCAACCTGTGGGCAGCCCACTGTGTGGCCTGCTAAGGCCATCATGTCTATCTGATGGAGGTAACTAGTACTAACATGTTCTTAGATCAACCAGGACCCACATAGATATAACAGATTCCCAGTCTGTCCCCGGGCTCTTTTTGAGGGATGTCACATCGTACTCTACCCCTGAACTGGCTGCTTGTTTAGGTATGAGGACACTTCCCTACAAGATGTGCAGCTGATGTTTTCTGACCATCCTCCCATAGAGGAACATCAACAATGGAGAAGCAATACTGAAACATGGAGCCACCTGCAGAGGCCATAGGCTGGTCTGCAAGGGAGAGGCTAGGAATGTCAGGTTAGCCAGTGTGCAGCTTAGTGGTTCTGTGTGCCACGACACAACCTCAACTAGCCCTAGTTAGTGATGGCAGGGAGACATGAAGACCCAACAGAAGGGCACCAGCAAGGGTGACTGGGATGAGGAGGACCAAGTCAGGAGATCTCTGAGGAGCAGAGGTGCCTAAGAGCTGGCCTTCAGACAATACTTGCAGCACAATAAAGGTCCCTGTTAGAGGTCCCAGGAATGGCATCTCAGCCTATGTCTTCTGAAGGGCCAATGAGTGAGGAAGACTGGAGAGAACTCTGGCCTGGGGTGACTTTCTGCTACCTCCAAAGTTTCCTCCAGGTTAAATGTGCACAGACAGCACCAAGTGAAGGCCAGCTCAATACATGGGGAGCAAAGGGCAGAAGCTTCAACCAGCTGAAACCTGCTGCCACCTCATTTCCTGAGGTGACAGTGCCCAAACAACTCCAGCAACCGAGAATAAATACACTGAGCCTCCTTGGCTGCTCTCTAAGCGACTGAAAGTAGAATGTTTTGTAGACAAAATCAGAGGTTGAACTTACCTTGCATTCTTGATCCTTCCTTGGTGTTCTGCGTATTCTAACCTGGAGGGGAATGCAAAAGATTAAAATTCAGTCCCCTGGGGATGACTGGTAGAGTTACACACTTCTGTTTTTTCCCTGCCTGACCCCTGACACCTCTCTACAGACACACATGGGTTCTTGGTTATTAGCCATGCTAGAGACTGGGATTAGAGAGACAGTCCTGAGCCCACATTCACTTGCAAAGAGAATGAAGTGCAAGTTATTAGGTTATGGTACCTTCCATGAGGATCATCTTTGTCTGTGTCCATACTTTCTCTGCAAAAACAAGAGCAGACGATCACATGTCAATACAGACGTGCAGCATAGCATCTTATCATAGAGAAGCCTCTCATTTACCCAGAAAACTCAAATAACCATGATACAGAAACAGATGTATAATAGTAACACAAGCAAGCACAATCAAGTGGACCCTATTATAAAGGCTAGACAGGCATTCTGCATTACCAAACAAAAGTTATTAAATCTCCATAGAGTATGTCTGTTCAATAAACTAGTTCACAGTATGATTATTAGAAAACTGGGAATCTACAGTGTTTATGGAGGAGACTCTTAGTTAACCAGAGTAGCCAGACATCTGTGCCACCTCATTCCTTAGCTGTTCTGAATAGATGATAAATGAAATTTACTCCATTTCTAAACATACCAAACACCAAAGACACTAGTGCATTTGTCTATTTGTTGGATGGGGGATGAAGTGAGGAGCAGCTAAGGAAAGCACTGAGCAACAGGGAAGGGAAGAGCAGAGCCCTGGGCAGCATCTCAAGGCATTGCCACCACAGGTTGCAATGTGGTTGCAGGTTCCTGGGCCTCAGAGGAAGTCATATGGGTTACAAGACAAACGTGCCCCTTTGCAATGGAATTGTGTCTACCACTGTGACCAAGCTCATCCCCAGGTGAGAAGCCCATGGCCTTAATATAGGAAAACTACAGGGGGAAGAACTATGAATTGTAGAAGGTAATTTGCAAAAATTTGCAAAACTGGGGTCCACAGAGGAAGCTTGAAGGTTACTGGGTGATGATGAGGCTAGAGATCACAGGTCCAACAGAAATCTTAGAACATGTTAGTCACTTCATCAGCATTTGCCCAAGACAAAGCTTCACAAAAACGCCCTGGTCTGTGCTGGGGAGTGAACGCTATGGCAGGAGCCCCCGGTTGTCACCCACTTTCCATCCCCGGGGGCTCTCTCAGTGATCTGGGATCACTTACACATTAATCATAGCATCTCCTAGGGGACATCTGAGCTCCAGCCTCTGTGTTCCCCAAATTGGACCTGTGGACTTCAGCAGAAAGGACGTCTGCTGGGGGAGCTACCTCCTCAGAGATTTTTCACTCATTTCAACAAAAGAAAATCCCTTCAATGGACTCCACATATCTGCCTCAGTGAAATGAACCATGCCTCTGAACGGTCTACCCTGCATCCCTCCCTAGCAGGCTACGGGGACAGGAGAGTGGGTGGTGAGAAGGAAAATGCTCACTTCCTCAATAGAAAAGTCAAGTCTAAAGAGAAACAAATACTCCTGAACAGTGCAAGTACATGCTAATTAATATAGTGCAATGTCCCTAGGCTGTTGACATGCTGCTACTCCTCCATTCCATACACTGCAGTTAAGCAGCTGACCCTTTCTGTCTTCAAAGAGGCTGCATGTGAGCTCTCCCCAACATCACTTCTCCAGATTGAGTTCTCCTACTTAAAGGAGCAAAGGAAAAGGGGAAGGGGCGGGGTGGGGGGGTGGGGGGACAGGACTTGACTATAAGGCTGTTCTTTCCCCCCATGACATGGAATAATCTGAGGACAGCAGGGGACACAGACACATAAGCAGGGCTGCTGGCCTTCCTGGCTTGACATTTAGGAGCAGATGAAGCCAAAATCAAATGCGTAGCACTTGGAGGGGCCCGGAGTCTCCCACACCTTCCTCTGGGAACAACGGCAGCTGTGGGCAGGGGCTCTGTGCCCATGCCCTGACGGGAGCTGACTGTCCCTTACTGGTAGTCGGTGGCACTGCCTTTCCTCTTGCGGTTGCAGTCCACGCCACTGGTGCCCAGGGAACTGGAGAGCAGGTCGGTGGGGCCTGGGGACATGAAGTCACTGATTGTGGAGGAGATGTCCATTCTCTGGTCCGCCATTGGAAGGAAAGTACTAAAACGATTACAAGAGGACACTTCTTTGTAAACACTTCACTTTTAAAGATCTGTTTTCTTCTCACTTATGTGTATGTGTGTGGGGGTGTGTGTGAACATGAATGCAGTACCTGTGGAAGCATGAGGCATTTAATCCCCCTAGAGCTGGAGTCATGAGCAGTTGTGAGCTGCCTGATGGCGGTGCTGGGAACTGAACTTGGTCCCCTGGCAGGGCAGCATGAGCCATCGCCAACCTCAGGAAAGTTATGTCAATATGTTCTCTGAGGTGGTGCAGGGCCTGGATGACCCTGAGGACATGGGTCTGGTTTACTGCAAGAGCATCACTCACCCCGCAGCCCAGAAGAGGCACACAGGACAGTGGGGAAAGCCTCATGCTTATTTTCAGAGTTGTAATTTGTGAAGACACTACATCTTTGTGCAAGTGTCTCTGTGCCAGAGAGGTTTGGTGGCTTCTCCTAGGACCTACATTAAGGGAAGACTAAACCAGACTGGGACATGGAGAAACGACCCAATATCCCACATATACTCAGACACAGGCAACTTCATTTCCTTCTAATTAATATATAACCAGTGAAATAAACATGAAACACAAGCTGGTTTTTGTACTTTTGTTATTGATGTTGTAAAAAAAATTGTGGAAAAACACAAAACATAAGAGGTATATAGATAGCTGGGCATGGTGGTACACTCATAGTTCTTAGGAGGTGGAAGCAGGAGAATCATGAGTTCAAGACTAGCCTGGGCAACGTTAGTAGGGCCCAGTCTTGACTGTCATTCTCCAAAAGAAAGCCTAAGTCCTACTGCAGAGTTAAGGTAATATAGCTCCTCTCTCTTCCTTACCAGGCAAGGTCTGGCATCTCTCTCTCCCCACCCTGCCCCACCCCATCCTGCCCCACCCCTTTGATCCCAGCATCTGCTTGCATAATTAAAGGAAGACATTGCAAATGACAGTACAAGCCATTTTCCGAGTTCATATTTTACAAGCACAGAGTAAGCTGACTCAAAAAAGTCCTAAGTACCTTGTAAGGGACTCTAACTCCAAACCCTGCTGCAGAGGGGTTGCCCAGTGGGCTGCCAAGGGCTCCAAGCTCCACAGGATTGGACTAGGGCTGTCACTCCCACCCTCTGGGCCTGAGTTCCCACATCTGCAAAACAAGAGGGTAAGGGTGAGTGCTGCTTCACAAAATCACTATTATGCCCTGCGGCTAGTAACCAACCCCTCCCGGTCAGGCCAGTGCCAACTTCTACACTTCTGGAATCTACACCTTTATGTACGTGTCTCCATGTGTTACCTCTCAGAATTAATTTCTAAAAGCAGGGCAGCCAGTGGGCAGCTCTGGATATTTCTATCCCCGAAAGAGGCCTTGCCAGTTTCTGAAGTTTTACTTACTACTGATGTTGCCTCTCCCTTTGTAGGCATTTGTCTCCCCTGGTGTCTGTACTCAGCCCCCATTTCTATACCACATGTCTTCTGCCCGGTGTTCACCTGTGTGCTTCAGAAAAGTACACTTCGGAGGCCCGTGCGCACACGGAGCTGCCAGCCTTCCTTCCCACACCTGGCCCCTGGTGTCCCTTCTGCGCTCAGGGACTTCCTGTTGTCTCTCTTGTCCAACTTCCAACATCCCCCTCATTCTCACTTTAGGTGGTAATTTTTCTCCTTTTTCTCTCTCTCCTTCCCACACCACCCCCACCGCAGTACTGGAATCTGAAGCCAAGGCCTCATGCATGCTGCCAATGCTCTCTCCCTGAGCCACACCCCCAGCCCTGCAAGCTTGGGTTAAGTCAAAAGGTGGCCAGCAAACACACCCACATCTAAGTGGGCATTGCTGCTGAGGCTCCCCCTTCCCTCAGGCCTTCCTGAGCCCTACTGCTCTCCTCTGCCCAAGGCCATCATTCCAGGATCCCTACCCCTTGCCCAATTTTATATCATCCATGCTCCCCACACAACTGGATCGTTCTCATCCGGATGAACATCAGTCATACTGCATCTTGGAGGGGAAACAGCCAACACATTATTTTTCCCTGTTGTTCAGAATATAGAACCCAGGGCTTTGCTTGCTGGGCAAGTGCTCTACCTTGGTTCTGTGCCATCCCCCATGTTAATATTCTGATCCTGCCCCTTGGGGCCACCCTGCATCCTGATGTAGAAGCCTCTTCTTAAGGAGAAATCTCTCCTGTTTTTCCTCCCATGAGGTATGCACACCTCCCTTCCCCCCCATTCCTCTCTCTGTTTTCCTCTTTCTGTCTCTCTGCCTCTTTATCTCTCTATTATAATAAACTCTCCACGTGGATGCAGTGTCTGGATTGTGTATTACTGGCCACCACCATGTCCGCATGAAGTGGATCGCCTGCCAGCTCACCACTGCAACTGCTCAGCATACCAGCATGTTCCCCCCACCCCACCACCCCACTCGTAATAAATCATAACACCCTAAGCCTAAATAAACTGTTTGGGACACTGTCTTCCTATAGTCCCATTGTCTATGTCTCCAGCATAATCTAACTCGGGTCAGGATTTTTTTAATTTAATTTAATTTTGCTTTATTTTATGTAGGTGGGTGTTTTGCTTGTATGATGTCTATACACCCACTTGTGTGCCTAGTTGTAGCACAAATTGTTAGGAGGTCTTATTAATGAAAACAAACCTGAAGCCAGATATTGGGGTGAATGCTGAAAGATTAGAGAAGCAGAACAAGCCACAGCTACCTCACCTTGCCAATTCTTCAGCTGATCCTGTTTCCTCAGACTGGAAGCCTCTGAGTCCTCATCCAAAATGAATCTCCACTGAACTGCTGCTCAAAAGCCTAAAAGCTTGACCAGGCTATAGTTCCTTGTCCTCACGCCTTAAATACCTTTCTGCCTCCTGCCATTACTTCCTGGGATTAAAGGTGAGTCACCATGCTTGGCTGTTTCCAGTGTGGCCTTGAACTCACAGAGATCCAGGCAGATCTCTGCCTCTGGAATGCGCTATCATCACTGCCTAACCTCTATGTTTAATATTGTGGCTGTTCTGTTCTCTGACCCCAGGTAAGTTTATTAGAGTGCACAATATTTTGGGGAACACAATACCACCACACCTAGTGCCTATGGGTGTCAAAAAGGAGCACTAGATTCCCTGGATCTGGAGTCACAGAGGGTTGTGAAACACTGGGTGGGTGCTGGGAATTAAACTCCAGTGTTCTGGAAGAACAGCCAGTACTCTTAACTTCTGAGTCATCTCTCTGGCCCCCAGGTCAGGCTTTGTCCCTTCATGATGTCTTTACAAGACTGCGGCTACCCTACCTAGTTCAGCAGGGGCCATTCTTTTCTAGATCCAATGGCCAGCTCTCACTCCCTCCACCAGTGGCATGGGCAGAGCTGACCTCTCCCTGGCCAATGTCTCTGTCCATACTCAGTCCCTAGGAGTTCTACTTTGTCTCAAATGCCACCCACACTGTGACAACCCCAAGCTTCTATCTCCAGCCTTGCTGTCCCGAGTTCTAGACTTGTCTAACCACCCATCTCCCTAACATCTCCACCTGAGTATGTGACAGAGATTCTATATTGACCCGCTTATGTCCCCTCAAGCAAGCCTTTCAGGCCTCCCTAAGTAATCAAGTGGTCTCCATCCTTCTAGGCTTCAAGTCAAGAAGCCACCTGACCCCTCCATTGGTCTTCTTATTGGCACAGAATTAAAAATACAGAACAGGTCACTGCTAAATGTCACTTCCTTAGTGACACTTGTTTTTTGTTTTTGTTTTATTTATTTATTTATTTATTTATTTTTCTATTATCAGTTTGATACAGTATACACTATTTTTATCCTAATAGTGAAATGTTTCATTGAGGCTTGCTCAGTAACTGAGTAAAACCAAAACTTAGTATAAGCCACAGTCATCCTAGGGTTCCCCCGCTATATAGCCTCCCTGGTTCTGTGGGTTGCAGTCTGATTGTTCTTTGCTTTATATCTAGAACCCACTTACGAGTGAGTACATACCATGTTTGTCCTTCTGGGTTTGGGTTACCACACTCAAGATGATATTTTCTAGTTCCATCCATTTGCCTTCAAATTTCATGCTGTCATTGTTTTTCTCTTCTGAGTATTACTCCATTGTGTATATGTACCACATTTTCTTAATCCATTCTTCAGTTGACGGGCATCTAGATTGTTTCCATGTTCTGGCTATTACAAATAGTGCTGCTATGAACATAATTGAGCATGTATCTTTGTGGTATCACCGAGTATTCCTTGGGTATATGCCCAAGAGTGGTATGGCTGAGTCTTGAAGTAAATCGATTCCCAATTTTCGGAGAAACCGCCATGCTGATTTCCACAGTGGTTGTACAAGTTTGCATTCCTACCAACAGTGGAGGAGTGTTCCCTTTGCTCTGCATCCTCTCCAACATTTACTGTCATTAGTGTTTTTGATCATAGCCATTCTGACAGGTGCAATGTGGTATCTCAGAGTCATTTTGATTTGCATTTCTCTCATGACCAAGGTTGTTGAGCATTTCTTTAAATGTCTTTCAGCCATTTGTGATTCTTCTTTTGAGAATTCTCTGTTTAGTTCTTTAGCCCATTTTTCAATTGGATTGTTCAGTATTTTGATGTCTAGTTTCTTGAGTTCTTTATATACTTTGGAGATCAGTCCTCTGTTAGATGTGGGGTTGGTGAAGGTCTTTTCCCATTCTGTAGGCTGTCTTTTTGTCTTATTGACCGTGTCTTTTGCCCTACAAAAGCTTCTCAGTTTCAAGAGGTCCCATTTATTAATTGTTGTGCTCAGTGTCTGTGCTGCTGGTGTTATATTTAGGAAGTGATCTTGTGGTGGTATTGTGTTCCCCAAAATATTGTGCACCTTAATAAACTTTTCTGGGGTCAGAGACAGAACAGTCACTAGATACAAAGGCTAGAAAATGGTGGCACTCACACCTTTAATCCTAGCACTCCAGAGGTAGAAATCCCTCTGGATCTCTGTAAGTTCAAGGCCACAATGGAAACGGCCAGGCATGGTGACTTACGCCTTTAATCCCAGAAAGCGAGCCTTTAATCCCAGGGCGTGGTGGTAGAAAGCAGAAAGGTATATAAGGCGTGAGGACCAGAAACTAGAATCATTTGACTGGTTAAGCTTTTAGGTTTTGAGCAGCACAGTTCAGCTGAGAACCATTCGGATATGAGGACACAGAGGCTTCCAGTCTGAGGAAACAAGATCAGCTGAGAAGTTGGCCAGGTGAGGTTAGCTGTGGCTTGTTCTGTCTCTCTGACCATCCAGCATTTCACCCCAATACCTGGCCCAGATTTGTTTTTACTAATAAGAACTTTTAAGATTCCTGTTACATGATCTCCTGTGCCAATGCGTTCAAGAGTACTTCCTACTTTCTCTTCTATTAAGTTTAGTGTAAGTGGATTTATGTTGAGGTCTTTGATCCACTTGGACTTGAGTTTTGTGCATGGTGACAAATATGGATCTATTTGTAATCTTTTTTTTTTTTTTTTTTTGGTTTTTCGAGACAGGGTTTCTCTGTGTAGTTTTGCACCTTTCCTGGAACTCACTTTGTAGACCAAGCTGACCTCGAACTCACAAAGATCCGCCTGCCTCTGCCTCCCGAGTGCTGGGATTAAAGGCGTGCGTCACCACCGCCCGGCTTATTTGTAATCTTTTACATACTGACATCCAGTTATGCCAGCACCATTTGTTGAAGATACTTTCTTTTTTCCATTGTATAGTTTTGGCTTCTTTGTCAAAAATTAGGTGTTCATATGTGCGTGGATTAATGTCAGGGTCTTCAATTTGATTCCATTGGTCTGTATGTTGGTTTTTATACCAGTACCAAGCTGTTTTTATTACTATAGCTCTATAGTAGAGCTTGACGTCAGGGATGGTGATGCCTCCAGAGATTGCTTTATTATACAGGATTCTTTTAGTTATCCTGGGTCTTTTGTTTTTCCACATGAAGTTGAGTATTTTTCTTTTCAAGTCTGTGAAGAATTGTGTTGGGATTTTGATGGGGATTGCATTGAATCTGTAGATTGCTTTTGGAGAAGACTGCCATTTTACTACGTTAATCCTATCTATCCATGAGCATGGGAGATCCTTCCATTTTCTGATATCTTCTTCAATTTCTTTCTTTAGAGATTTAAAGTTCTTATCAAAAAGGTCCTTCACTTGTTTAGTTAGTGTTATCCCAAGGTATTTTATATTATTTGTGGCTATTGTAAAGGGTGATGTTTCTCTGACTTCTTTCTCAGCCCTTTTATCATTTGTGTATAGGAGGGCTACTGATTTTTTTGAGTTGATCTTGTATCCTGCCACTTTACTGAAGGAGTTTATCAGCTGTAGGAGTTCCCTGGTAGAATTTTTGGGGTCACTTATGTATACTATCATATCATCTGCAAACAGTGAAAGTTTGACTTCTTCCTTTCCAATTTGTATCCTTTTGATCTCCTTTTATTGAGCAATCTTCTTATTGCTCTAGCTAGAACTTCAAGTACTATATTGAATAAATATGGGGAGAGTGGATAGCCTTGTCTTGTTCCTGATTTTAGTGGAATCGCTTTGAGTTTCTCTCCATTTAATTTGATGGTGGCTGTTGGCTTGCTGTAAATTGCCTTTATTATGTTTAGGAATGTTCCTTGTATTCCTGATCTCTCTAAGACCTTTATCATGAAGGGGTGTTGGATTTTGTCAAAGGCTTTTTCAGCATCTAATGAGATGATCATGTGGTTTTTTTCTTTCAGTTTGTTTACATGGTGTGTTACATTGACAGATTTTCGTATGTTGAACCATCCTTGCATCCCTGGGATGAAACCTACTTGGTCATGGTGGATAATTTTTTTGATGTGTTCTTGGATTCAGTTTGCCAATATTTTGCTGAGTATTTTTGCATCAATATTCATGAGGGAGACTGGTCTGTAATTCTCTTTCTTTGTTGCATCTTTGTGTGGTTTGAGTATCAGGGTAATTGTAGCCTCATAAAAAGAGTTTGGTAATGTTCCTTCTGTTTCTATTGTGTGGAACAATTTGAAGAGTATTGGAATTAGTTCTTTGAAAATCTGTTAGAATTCTGCACTGAAACCATCTGGTCCTGGGCTTTTTTTGGTTGGGAGACTTTTGATGACTGTTTCTATTTCTTTAGGGGTTACTGGTCTATTTGAATAGTTTATCTGGTCTTGATTTAACTTTGGTATGTGGTATCTATCCAGAAAATTGTCCATTTCTTCCAGATTTTCCAATTTTCGTGGAGTACAGGTTTTTCAAGTATGACCTGATGATTCTCTGGATTTCCTCGTTGTCTGTTTTTATGTCTCCCTTTTCATTTCTGATTTTGTTAATTTGGGTGCTCTCTCTTTGCCTTTTGGTTAATTTGGCTAGGGGTTTGTCTATCTTGTTGATTTTTTTCAAAGAACCAACTCTTTGTTTCATTGATTTTTTGTACTGTTCTCTTGGTTTCTATTTCATTGACTTCAGCCCTCAATTTGATTATTTCCTGGTGTCTATTTCTCCTGGGTGAGTTTGTTTCTTTTTGTTCTAGAGCTTTCAGTTGTGCTGTTAAGTCACTGGTATGAGATTTCTCCATCTTCTTTATGTGTGCATTTAGAGCTTTGAATTTTCCTCTTAGCACGGCTTTCATAGCCTTAGTGACACTTCTTTGAAGGACCATATAGTGTAAACTCTGCCAACTCTCCTATTCACTACCCCTATTTATGTTTTCCGAATCTACCTTTCCCTATTACAATCTCCTTTCTGCCCTCCCTACAAGGTGGTCAGCTATGGAGAGCAAGGGCTCTGCTCTACTGACTGCCCACAGCTTGCAGAACTCTTTCTGGCACACAGAAATGTTCCACAGGACATCGGAAATGAGTGAAATAATCTGCATATGACAAAGCAGTTCTGTGTTCATCACAGACGTTGTAAGCTTTTTTCTTTCATTTCCTTTTGACTTTTGAATTTTCTATGTAGTTTTAAAACATTACAAAAATCATTTTCAAAATAATATAACACAAAGATTCCTCTTTATACCAATACTTTGTAACTTTTAATTTATTTTATTCACTTTTTTTTTTTTTTTTTTTTTTTTTGAGACAGGATCTTACTGTGTAGCCCAAGCTGGCCTCAAACAGTGACCCACCTACTTCAGCTTCCCAGTGGTAGGATTACAGGCATAAACCACCATGTTGGCTTGGACTTTCAGTCTGTGTATGTGTGTGTGTGTGCATGTTTATGTGTGCACCTGTGTAAAGATGTGTGTGCACATGCATGCACATGTGTAGAGACTGAGGTTGACTTTGGGTGCCTTCTCCAATCATGTACCTCATTTCTTGAGATGGGGTTTCTTACTGAACTCAGAGCTCACAGACTGGAATAGACTGGTTGCTGGCAAGCCCCAGGGATCTACCTGTGTCCACTTCCCCAGCACTGGATTACAGGTGCATGCCTCTATACTCAGCTTTAAATTTTGTATTTTTTTGAAGATTTATTTATTTTTATGTATATGGATGCCTTTGCCTGTATGTATGTATAGGCACTGTGTGTGCCTGGTGCTCTTGGCAGTCCTAAGAGGACATTGGATCGCGTGGAACTGGAGTTACAGAATATTGTGAGCTGCCATGCAGGTGATGAGGACTGAACCCAGGTCCTCTGGAAGAGCAGCCAGTGCTCTAACCACTGAGTCATCTCTCCATACCCCGCCCTCAATGTTGTTAATTGTAAGTATGTGTATGTCTGTGTACATGAGTGCTGGTGCCCACAGAGGCCAGATGCACTGAATCCCCTGAAGCTAGAGTTAGAGGAGGTTGTGAGCCACCCAGTGTGGGTTTTGGGAATCAAACTCAGGTCTCCTACAAGAGCAGTACGCGCTCTTAACTGCTGAGCCATCTCTCCAGCCCCTACCCAGTCAAACTCAGGTCCTCACGCTTGCCTGACAAGCACTTTACTGACTGGGCCTTCTCTCTGCCTCTTAATTTCCCTTTTTTACTTACCGATTTAATCCTTCTGGCAACTGTTCTGATATACCACTCAAGGTTAGACATTTCTCTCTTCCCTAGGGTGGATGCACTGTTGTCCCAGAACTACTTCTTAGAGACCATGCTTCCTGTTACCAAGCACCTAACATGGTTCCTCTGCTGACAGGCTGGGTCCACTCTTCCATTCTGTTCCCCTAATCCGGTTCTTTTCATTCTACCATCACACTGTTCTTACAAGTGTGGTTTCCGCACACATCTTAATACACAGCAGAACAAATTATTTTCCCTTTATTAGGCTCGGTTTCCAGAACTGTCTTGGCTATTCTGGCTTGTCCTTTGGGGAGTATCTTATAAAATTCATGGTGCGTGGCCACCATAACTGCTGACATTCACACCGACCTTCAGAGAAGCAGGAAAAGGGCTGAATACACACCCTACCCTCCAGGTCTTGGTGGTTTACAGATCCTTGGCCCCTTGCACATGTCAGACCTGGGGAGCCACTGGGATCTGACTCACTTTTTAACAACCCAACTGCTGAAGGCCACCAATGACCATCAGCTGCCAGGGGCTATTACCTGAGGTTACAGTTCTTAAGCTTCGATCCAGCGTGGGAGGTACAAGGGACCGATGTGCTTGCTGGTCACCTCAAAGTGACTTTCATGTTTTATAGCTTTCTTCCAGCCAGTCAACTTCTTCCAAAATCCTACAGTAGAGACCCAAGGAAAGAAAACCCAAACAGGTCACACAGGGATAAACAAATCTGGCAGTCTCTTGTGAGCTAAGGGGGTGAGAGAGCGAGCTCCTGACCCACACAGGGCAGGCTCCCAGCCCATCCATCGCCACATCCTGGCCACACTCACTGGCCCATCTTTACATCCCTGTAATACCTATGCTGCAAATGCATGAATCTGGCAGATGCTTCCCGAGAAAACCACGCCTTCTAAGTATGGATTCTTGGACACGTCTTTAGGAAAGCTAGGCATGTTTTATTACTTCTTTTACTGGGTTACATAGTAACTGTGAATGTCCGGGTATTATTTTACATCAGACACTTATCGACTTACATGGGTTAACTTATTCAGACATGAACATCCCTCAAGGAGGCAGGTACTACTGCTGCATGCATTTTACAAAGGGAAAATCCTTAAAGAGGTAAATAGACTAGCCAAAGTCACACTGAGAGTGGTGGGCGACCAGAAGCAACTAACAATATTGTTCAGTTTAAGCTACGAGTGGTGGCTCGTGACTGTAATTTCATCACTTAGAAGGTAGAATCAGGAGGACCACAAGTTCAAGGCTATCCTCAGCTACCCAGAAAGTTCAAAGCTGGAATGGGTTATGGAGAGACCTCCTCCCAAAACAACAGTGCCGGACATATAGCTCAGTAGTTGAGAGAGCTTGCTGCTCTTCCAGAAGACCTGAGCTCAGTTCTCAGCACTCACATCAGGTTGCTTACAACCACCTGTAACTCCAACTCCAAGGGATCCAACACCCTCTTCTGGCCTTTAGGGGCACTGCACTCATGAGCACATAGCTGCATGCAGACACACACATACACACAAAAAATTTTTTGAAAAAAAAATTGTTTTTAAAAAATTGCTCAGCTCTCAGTGCAAGCGAAAGCAGTCATCTGAACCCAGAGGTCCAGAGCAACAGAAAGGGACAGAGGCCTTTTAGCCCAAACAAATGCCAGCAGGACCAGCTCAGGTGTTTCAAGAAAATGCCCGTGAACACCAAGATGTCTAGACACATCCAAAGCTAAGACGGGCATGACATCTGCAAGGGCCCATTTCGGCTAAGTGGCAACGATGCCACCTACTTCTGCCAGGACACAGGCCTGCACTCTGCCCGTCGGAGCTCCATGGCAGTTTCCTGTGTGTGGGAAGAGCTGATGTGGAAGGAACACAGGGGCCTTCTACATGCTCCTCATCCAAGCTGCTCTGCCTGCTGCAGGCAGGACTACAACTGAGAATGCTCTCCTGGCCTTCCAAAGCGGAGAGCCTGGCGTGACACTGGCTCCTTACTTTGCAGTCTTCAGAAAATGCTACCTGCCTCGATGGTCCTAAGTCCTGGAGGCCCTCTCCACTGACTCCTCCATGCAGCATGGCTCAGAATCCTTCACAGTCCAACTCCGTTAACTCCAGTCCAGGCACATGCAAACGCTCTATCTAGAAATCTGGCTCTTCTAGCCTCTAAACCTCAGCTGGTAGGCAGAAACAGCAAACAGTGACACAGTCTCCAGGCTTAACATAGCAACTCCAGCTCCATCTGATCCCTGTCCAGCTGGAACGCTGTCTTCTCAACTCCCAAGTCAGCAAGGCCTAAGCCATTCTGGGCTTGTCCATACCTATGCGCACACACACACACACACACACACACACACACACACACACACACACCACCCCAGAGCTCCTCTGAGGGATGGATCTAGCTACTTCCCTGTATCCCCTGCCAATGTTCTGTCAGATGTTCAATCATTCTTTCCAGATTCAGTCCCTCCCACTATAGCTGGTGAGAGAATACCTGCCTCCCTTAGGGCACTCTAAGCCAAATTTTTCCTTAAGCCAGAAAAATTCCAAACTCCCTAGCAGGATACACTGGGCCTCACTCAGTGCTAGCCCATCCTCTCCACATACTGCCCAGGGCTCAAGCCAAGAGGAAACATCCAGGTACCCGGGAGCTGGGTGGTAAGCTGTGGGACCCACCCTGTTCCTTGGTAAGGCCTTCATGCTGTTACAGCTGCCCATCTTCCCTGCTCAACTAGAACCCTCCAGTCAGGGCCTCAATTACAGGGAGCTGTAATTGCCCCATGCCTCACTGCAAGTGGCCCATGAGCAGACAAGCCCAGGTCCCTTCTCCCTCTTGTCCCCAATCAAGGTTTCACCAGATTTACAATTCCTTGCTCCATACGAAACACCTCACTTTGATTGATTTTTTTTCTAATACTAAATTTTACTTTACAGAAATTATAATAACTGCTAACTTAGATGTTGTCATTATCTTTATAAAACAAAACTGAGAAGGTGTTCCTTCCATGTTAGACAAGTGAGCCAGATATGACACTGACACTATTTTTAGAAAACTCTCTCTCTCTCTCCAAGAAGGCATTCTTAGATAGAAGAACAAAAAACAAAAGGGGACAGACAGACAGACAAACAGACAAAAGCCGCATCTTTCTGTGCTCCTTACTTCTGAGAGGAGGCAGGGAGGGAGCTCTCCGAGGCCTCAGGGACCTATAAAAGGGACCTTTGCTGGCAGAGGGCTCAAAGGGCCTGCCTCTCCCTGGTACAAGCATGTAAATGGCACATGAAAGCCACTCTTGGAGCCTGGCCTGTGCCCTGCAGTCCAGGGCCACACATATGCCCACTTCTGAGCTAGAGTGTGCTAGAGGTAGAGAGAACATCTTACTGGAGAGCCAGAGAAAGCACTTAATGGGGGAACTTGTGCAGTGTGCCTGGAAAGAACATGAGGTACCCTCTCCCACTACTGCCCCTCAGAGCACAGGGACCCCTGTAGCATGAATCTTAAAAAGTCTTATTAATAAAAACAAACCTGGAGCCAGGTATTGGGGTGAATGCTGGAAGATCAGAGAAGCAGAACAAGCCACAGCTTCCTCACCTCACCAATTTCCTCAGACTGGAAGCCTCTGTGTCCTCATCCGAATGGATCTCAGCTGAACTGCTGCTCAAAAGCCTGAAAGCTTAAGCAGGCTAGTTCCTGGTTTTCACACCTTATATACCTTTCTGCTTTCTGCCATCACTTCCTGGGATTAAAGGCTCACTTCCTGGGATTAAAGGTGTGAGTCACCAAGCCTGGCTGTTTCCAGTGTGGCTTTAAACTCACAGAGATCTGGATGGGTCTCTGCCTCTCAAGTGATAGGATTAAAGGCGTGTGTGCCACCATTTTCTGGCCTTTATATCTAGTGGCTGTTGTGTTCTCTGACCCCAGATAAGTTTATTAGGGTGCACAATATTTTGGGGAACACAATATCACCACAGACCCCTGAGTGCCACCCAAAGAAGCCGAAGGCGGAAGGAATCGTCGCAGCCCATGCTGCCCTCACAGAGCGGTTGCAGCAGCTGTGAAGGCAAGGTGGGAGTGTTAGCCACTAGTGGGCACCCAAAGGAGACACAGTGTTTCTCTGAGCAGGGCAAGACAATGCTAAACTCCAAGCCTTAAGGAGCATCTGCAGGAAGACAGCCACATCCAAGCCCTCAATCCAGACCACGTGTCCATGGCCCTTTTCTCTCCTACCCAGCACACCAGAAGGTTACCTGCAGGCTGCATTTATGTTCCAACACTTAGTTGCCTCATGTTAATGAGACCGATGAAGACATCCCACTTCTCTCTAGGTCAAATCACTTTTAAAATCACTACAAGCCGGGCGGTGGTGGCGCACGCCTTTAATCCCAGCACTCGGGAGGCAGAGGCAGGCGGATCTCTGTGAGTTCGAGGCCAGCCTGGTCTACGGTGCGAGATCCAGGAAAGGCGCAAAGCTACACAGAGAAACCCTGTCTTGAAAAACCAAAAAAAAAAAAAAAAAAAAAAAAAAAAATCACTACAGTGGGGATGGAGAAACAGTTCAATAGTACAGCACTTGCTCAGCATGCATGAGGCCCCAGTACTCGGGGAGTGTTAGTGATAACTCCTTACAGTCAGCACTTTGGTGGCTCATTTTCCTGTAAATAAACAAGGAATTTGGGGTATGGGATCCAGCTCCCTAAGGACAGCTGTAGATGTTCCCATGCTGCCCTGGCTACCTTGAGCAAATGGACGGACCATCAGTCAACAGCAAGCCGGATGACCATCTGCCAGCACTGGCACTTTGGAGCACTCCCTGAATGCCTTGAGGAACTGTATGCATGGTGGGCTCAGTTAACTGCTCTGGATTCTGAAGGCACAGCCCCAGCCAGGACAGTTTCAAGCAGTCTGTTACAGACTTTTCACTACTACAAACCTCGGTGAACTTCAGGTGAATCTACAACCATTCCCACCTAAGCCGAGGAAGGAGCACTTCCCTGGTGGCTGAGCAGAGGTTTGCACTGTGACTGATGCAAACACACGCTTTCACTTGAATGTGGAGTTTGCTGTGATTGGTACAAACACCCTTCTCCAGCCACATAAGTTTGACTTACTTGTGAGCTAGCTGGAGACACCACCTGTCCCACCCCCACCCCACCTCCTGCACTGTCTCTCCTGGTGTTACAACATTAAGCCTAACAGAATGCTCTTCTTGATGGTTTTCTTCTGCTGACATTTAGTAGACTGAGCTGGTACCATGAAGAGCAGCCAGAATAGTGGAGTGGCAGCAACAGTGAAGTCAATGGAATGGAGGTGACAGTGAGGAGCTGGCACCCCAAACAAAGAGCAGGGGAGTGGCCACCTAGCCGACAGATGAATAAGGGTCGTCCGGCTGTGCAGTCTGCAGGTCAGGCTGCAAAAGCAGTGTTGCAGCTGGATGCACTGCCAGCTGCAAACAAGCCAGGGCCTCAGTTTCAGCAGCCAACAGCAACAGCAGCAGCAGCAAGAGTGGCCAAAGCTGCTGCCCATCAGGACAGCTGCCATGGCAACAGGAGGCAGCAGGGAACAGGAGGGAAAGTATAAGGAGAAAGAAGGTGGAGCGCTAAGACTGAAGAAAGCAGCCAAGGGCTGGAGAAGAGAAACCGTGGGCCCTGGTTGCTGAAATATCAGAGCTGTCAAGTC